AGAAAGGCAACTAGAACAGAAAGCAGTTCAAGAAATAAAGAAAAAACAAAAATATTTCTTCACATATGCAAAATCAAAAGCAAAAACCACTGCCAGTATTGGACCTATTCGTACGAGTGAAGGTTCATACACTGAGGATGACAAAGAAATTAGTGAAACCCTAAAAAAAGCAGTATGAGGACATGTTTAGCACTCTAATAAACAACATGAAAGTGGAAGATCCTGACAACTTTATGCATGATATCCAAACCCTCTGTAAATATAACTGATATCAACACGAGCCTGACAGATTTTGAAAGAAAAATTGACAACATGCCCATGCACTCAGCCCCGGATCCAGACTCATGGAATTCAATATTTATAAAGAAATGCAAAGTGCCAGTAGCACAGGCACTCAGTATAGTGTGGAGGAAGAGCTTGGACACGGGGAAGATACCAGATGCGCTTAAAGCAGCAGACATTGCTCCTCTACACAAGGGAAGTAGCAAAGCATTGGCAAAGAATTATAGATCAGTTGCACTAACATCCCACATAATAAAAGTATTTGAGAGTGATCAGGAGTCGGGTCACCAGTTTCATGGAGACCAATGACCTTCACAATCCAGGCCAACATGGATTTAGAGCAGGAAGATCATGCCTCTCACAGCTACTTGACCATTACGACAAAGTCACTGAGGCATTAGAAGAAAAACAGAATGCTGATGTGATATACACGGACTTCACAAAGGTATTCGATAAATGTGACCATGGCGTGATAGCACACAAAATGAGGTCAATGGGAATAACTGGTAAAGTAGGACGCTGGATACTTAGTTTTTTTGTCGAACAGAACACAAAGAGTAACAGTCAACCATAAACCATAAGTTCTGTACCTCAAGGTACAGTCCTTGCACCGCTGCTTTTCCTTATTCTCATACCAGATATAGACTCAAATACAAGTCACAGCTTCGTATCATCCTTTGCAGATGACATAAAAATCAGTATGAAAATTACCTCGGCTGAGCACATTGAAAAACTTCAAGCTGATATTAATAAAGTTTTCGACTGGGCTGCAGAAAATAACATGATGTTTAACAGCGATAAATTCCAGGTACTCAGGTACGGTAAAAATGAGAACCTTAAACATAATACAGGGTACAAAATACAATAAAATAAGCCCATAGTAGGAAAGCAACATGTAAAGGATTTGGGAATAATGATGTCTGACGACCTAACGTTTAGGGAGCATAACCAAGCAAGTATTGCGTCAGTCAGAAAAATGATAGGTTGGATTACGAGAACTTTCAAATCCAGGGATCCCACCACAATGGTTGTACTCTTCAAATCAGTTGTGCTTTCCCGTCTTGAGTACTGCTCAGTACTCACTTCCCCCTTCAGAGCAGGAAAGATTGCAGAAACAGAGGGAATACAGAGCACCTATACGGCACGCATAGACGCGATAAAACACCTAAATTATTGGGATCGTCTCAAAGCCCTCCAAATATACTCACTAGAAAGAAGACGAGAGAGATATCAAATAATATACACGTGGATATTATTCGGTACTGGAGGGCCAAGTACCAAATCTACACAGTAAAATAACAACATACTGGAGTGAACGATATGGAAGAAAATGCAGAATAGAACCAGTGAAGAGCAGAGGTGCCATAGGCACAATCAGAGAACACGGTATAAACATCAGAGGTCCGCGGTTGTTCAACACCCTCCCAGCGAGTATAAGAAATATTGCCGGAACAACCGTGGACATCTTCAAGAGGAAACTATATAGTTTTCTCCAAGGAGTGCCGGACCAACCGGGCTGTGGTGGGTATGTGGGCCTGCGGGCCACTCCAAGCAACAGCCTGGTGGACCAAACTCTCACAAGTCAAGCCTGGCCTCGGGCCGGGCTTGGGGAGTAGAAGAACTCCCAGAACCCCATCAACCAGGTATGAAGCAGAGTTCAACCCCCGCTAGCACAACTAGGTGAATACAGGGATGTAAGGAAAGCTGTGCTTGTGTGTGAGAGTAAAGAAGTGGAATGATATTACTGGCAAGATGGTTGAGACAAGCAGCAAGGTGGGTTGGTCGATATTGCATCAGACAACACACCTAGAAAAGCAGGGGCCCAGGAACTATAGGCCAACCATTCCAAGACAAGAGCACAGTAGGCGGGGAGGCAGGAGGAGGAGGCAGCAGTGTGACAGTGACCAACACCCAACACTTCCGCTGTGTGATATTCTAGGAAGCAGGCAGCCGCCGCCGCCGCCGCCGCCGCCAAGGGCAGGCGGTGAACACTGGCCTCAGTAAGCCATTAAGGCACCATTGTGCCCATTAACCTCTCCCAACCACATCTATACCAACACTTTCCTCCTTCCCTCTAACACAACTTTACACAATTATAAAGTATACCTCACATTCATTGTTCACTTCTCTACACAAGTATTTTATTACATTATAAACTAACTAGCTTAACAGTGTTGTGTCTATGAACAACCCAAGAAAAATAATAAAAAATTCAATAAAATTTAATAAACCGGAGACGAAGTGAATGTATAGTGAGTGATGGAGACCGTCTTGATCATCTGAGACATGTACACAAATGTGTACAATAATATATATATATATCCAACATATTTGAGTTAGGAAAACATTATTCGTCTATATTTTTGTTCTTGAAGAGATTCCTTCCACTTTACATTCACAAAATAAAAACGTTTATGGGGTTAAATGTAAATCTTGTCTGATAAAGTGTTCACTTGAGACAGTTAAGTAAGTCGGAGCTGCGTGTGGATACAAGTGACAGCATGGACAACCCAGCGGGTTTTCTTCCTATTGGGGAGTGTGGTACATACAGCTATGGCGGCGGTGTGTTCACTCTCAGAATGAGTGACGCTGCTCAGTAAACTCGCCCTTTGGGGCCCAAATTGACACTAACTGTGCCATGTATCACGGTGCTACTACTATGTAAAGGCCATATATGTGTGGGTGGGCCATATATGTGCTGCTACTACTATATAAAGGCCATATATGTGTGGGTGGGGCCACATATGTGCTGCTACTACTATATAAAGGCCATATATGTGTGGGTGGGGCCACATATGTGCTGCTACTACTATATAAAGGCCATATATGTGTGGGTGGGGCCACATATGTGCTGCTACTACTATGTAAAGGCCATATATGTGTGGGTGGGGCCACATATGTGCTGCTGCTACTACTATGTAAAGACCATATATGTGTGGGTGGGGCCACATATGTGCTGCTACTACTATATAAAGACCATATATGTGTGGGTGGGGCCACATATGTGCTGCTACTACTATGTAAAGGCCATATATGTGTGGGTGGGGCCACATATGTGCTGCTGCTACTACTATGTAAAGGCCATATATGTGTGGGTGGGGCCACATATGTGCTGCTGCTACTACTATATAAAGGCCATATATGTGTGGGTGGGGCCACATATGTGCTGCTACTACTATGTAAAGGCCATATATGTGTGGGTGGGGCCACATATGTGCTGCTACTACTATGTAAAGGCCATATATGTGTGGGTGGGGCCACATATGTGCTGCTACTACTATGTAAAGGCCATATATGTGTGGGTGGGGCCACATATGTGCTGCTACTACTATATAAAGACCATATATGTGTGGGTGGGGCCATATATGTGCTGCTGCTACTATGTAAAGGCCATATATGTGTGGGTGGGGCCACATATGTGCTGCTACTACTATATAAAGACCATATATGTGTGGGTGGGGCCACATATGTGCTGCTACTACTATGTAAAGGCCATATATGTGTGGGTGGGGCCACATATGTGCTGCTACTACTATGTAAAGGCCATATATGTGTGGATGGTCCACCACAACCAGCCAGCTGCCAGAGGGTGATGTTGCTCACCGTAGGCCTACCTCACCCTGCATGAGGCACTTGTATATAATTATTGTAGTGCTCACAGGCCTGGGTGCTCACAGGCCTGGGTGCTCACAGGCCTGGGTGCTCACAGCCATGTCTGGCTGCCTTGTCATACTGCAAGAATTACACGGTACACATCATGAGTACCTACATCAAGAGTACACATATATAGTACCTATTGGTACAGTACTTATATCACTTTATCTAATACCCCCACCCACCCATCCCCCATCATCTAGGTATGGGTCCTCTGCCGCCCACGGGATGGGTATGGGGTCCACTACCGCCCACGGGATGGGTATGGGGTCCACTACCGCCCACGGGATGGGTATGGGGTCCACTACCGCCCACGGGATGGGTATGGGGTCCACTACCGCCCACGGGATGGGTATGGGGTCCACTACCGCCCACGGGATGAGTATGGGGTCCACTACCGCCCACGGGATGGGTATGGGGTCCACTACCGCCCACGGGATGAGTATGGGGTCCACATTCACCCACGGGATGGGTATGGGTTGAGTACACACAGCAACAGGTGTGACAGCGTCCGCCGGACCCCAGCGCCCGCAGGACCCCAGCACCCACAAGACCACAGGACCCCCAGGACCCCAGGACCCCAGCCATGGGGTCCATAATGAACTAATAACACCAACTACACTAGGCTTGACGTATAGACTGGTCAGGTAAGAGCATACCGACCCATCACTCACTGACCAACTAACACACAACTGATGACAACGGAAATTATCGTCTTGTACACCTGGACATACTGAGAGTGAGAACTAAAGCGTAATATGTTGTGAGGTGAGTGGTGTTGGCACTGGTATTATGGTGCCACGTGAGGATGAGGCTCGCTGAGTGGCCCACATGGCACCCCCCCCACCCCCACGCTGACTGAGTGGCCCCACAATGAGCTTATTCATCAGTATCAAGTGGTCTAAGATGAACCAGATCAACAGTGTTGTGGTGGGCGCCACACCGTGCCCACTCCCGCCTCCCTCTCCACCGCTGGTATACCCTCGTCTCACCGGGCCGCATTTACGCACACCATCTAGTGAACAATACGTGTGGAGTGTAGTGGTGGTGGTGGTGGCAGACGGCGCCCTGCACCAAGTGCTTGTGACATGTTGTGTGTGTGTGTGTGTGTGTAGTGACAAGTGGACTACTGCCAACACTTGGGCCTCGCCAACACACTAACAACACTTCCTCCACTCTCCCTTCACGCTAACTTAATGAACTTCAACAAAAACATAGATAACTAGATCTAAATTGAAGACATTCCAATCGGCCCAATCAAAGGTATCTGCCAACTTTCATGTCTGGGAACACTGTACAAGCGCTCACTTCAGCACTTTACCTATAAACAGTAAGTAACCCAAGCAAGGCTGCTCGGCCTATAATACCAGACCTCACTCATACAACTATTATACATGTGGTGCTATATTGGAGTACACTCTAGAGGTGACATATTGGTTGTGTGTGAGTGTGGCGGAGGAGGCAAAGGTTGTCACACTGGCTTCACTACCTCAAGGGGCTCATACCACTTTATGTCTCCACACAACCTTGTGACAAATGTTGCCATTGGTCTCAAGTGTGTCAGTGAATTACAAGTGTGAGACACGCGGGTGATACTTGCTGCCCAGAGTGTAATGTTACACCCTAGTGTGGGGCGGGGCGACCCTACCACCACCCTCATACTGACCCTCACACACCACCACCATCATACTGACCCACGATTGTCAGCTGACACTCCACCACCACCACCATCATACTGACCCACCATTGTTAGCTGACACTCCACCACCACCACCATCATACTGACCCACCATTGTTAGCTGACACTCCACCACCACCACCATCATACTGACCCACCATTGTTAGCTGACACTCCACCACCATCATACTGACCCACCATTGTTAGCTGACACCTGGTTGATGGGGTTCTGGGAGTTCTTCTACTCTCCAAGCCCGGCCCAAATAATATACACCTGGAAGATACTGGAGGGCCAGGTCCCAAATCTACACAGTAAAATAACAACATAATGGAGTGAACGATATGGAACAAAATGCAGAATAGAACCAGTGAAGAGCAGAGGTGCCATAGGCACAATCAGAGAACACTGTATAAACATCAGAGGTCCGCAGTTGTTCAACTTCCTACCAGCGAGCATGAGAAATATTGCCGGAACAACCGTGGACATCTTCAAGAGGAAACTAGATTTATTCCTCCAAGGAGTGCCGGACCAACCGGGCTGTGGTGGGTATGTGGGCCTGCGGGCCGCTCCAAGCAACAGCCTAGTGGACCAAAAAGCCTGGCCTCGGGCCGGGCTTGGGGAGTAGAACTCCCAGAACCCCATCAACCAGCTATTGACCAGACCCGAGGCCAGGCTTGACTTGTGAGAGTTTGGTCCACCAGGCTGTTGGTACCTGGTACTTGGCCCTCCAGTATCTTCCAGGTGTATAGTGTAGACATACCACCACCACCCTCATACTGACCCCCCCCCCCCCCCCCCCACCTTATAACACTACCGCTCTAAACGCTCAACTTTATGCTTCACCACATCCCTCCCCCCCCTGTGTGTACCACCACACACCTGACCCACCACCACCACTCAACCAGTGCTCCTTCACGTGCAACCCGTTCTCGCACTTTCTTACAGTCAATATTGACTTATTAAATAAGTGCATATGTGACATATTAATTTATTGTGACTATTTTAGTTTACCTTGAAAAGCTTCATAGAAAACACCGACCTTACCTAACCTTCTTAGTATGTTAAGATAAGCATCTTATTGCTTCGTAATTACATTTATTACCTAACCTATACCTATAATAGGTTAAGTAATAATTGTAATTACGAAGCAATAAGATGCTTATCTTAACATACTAAGAAGGTTAGGTAAGGTCGGTGTTTTCTATGAAGCTTTTCAAGGTAAACTAGCATGTTTAGTATGTCACGTTTGCACGTATTTATTAAGTCAATATTGACTATACGAAAGTGCGAGAACGGGTTGTACACACCTGACCCACCTTCACCACCACCACCACTCAACACGTGCTCCTTCACACACCTGACCCACCACCACCACCACCACCACCACTCAACACGTGCTCCTTCACACACCTGACCCACCACCACCACCACACACCTGACCCACCACCACCACTCAACCAGTGCTCCTTTACACACCTGACCCACCACCACCACCACACACACCAAGCGGGTCACGTTGCCCCCATCATATACAAGTATATCAATGCCAGGTATGTGATATATACAGAAGAGCCGCCTCAGCACTCACATGTGTCTTGTTTCATACCTGCCTCGCGCCTCCACACCATCCACTATGTCGTAGAGACGAGAGAGGAGAGTAGGGCGGGAGTCAGTACCTTAGACAACCAACGGTTAAGGAGGTGGGGTCCAAGAGCTAACAGTTCCCTCCTGCAGGCACAAATAGTAAGTACAGAAATACATCACACACACACACGCCACTGTACACATACACCACACACACACCCACGCTCACGCCACTGTACACATACACCACACACACCACTGTACACATACACCACACACACCACTGTACACATACACCACACACACACCCACGCCTACGCCACTGTACACATACACCACACACACCACTGTACACATACACCACACACACACACACGCTCACGCCACTGTACACATACACCACACACACACACACACACCACTGTACACATACACCACACACACACACACGCTCACGCCACTGTACACATACACCACACACACCACTGTACACATACACCACACACACGCCACTGTGTATATACACCACACAACATCCTGAAGAGAATAGAAGAGTTGGCCACTGTGACAAGACTGTAATACACGGTCCTCACGGGACAGATGAAGCATGGAGAGCAACATCTCTGGACGCTAAAGGTGAAGGCGAGAGTGGGAAAGTAGGGCAAGGAGCAGGGTAAGTATAGAGGCAAGGGGAGGACAGGTCTATCTGCAGGAGGTGCCATGGAAGGAGAGTCAGCACAAGCAACACAACAGGTCGTGCCTCTCAGGCGGGAAATGGACAAAAGGAGAACGGTAATCTCATGCTTCAGTAGACACAGTTAGGAGGAAAAGTAGAAGACAGAAAAGGCCTGGGAAAAAAGTAGAGAGCTTCGGGTACAGGAGTAAAGAGGAAGGCACTAAACACGTCCAGGAAAGAATACACACGGATCACCAGCAGTTTGAGAGTGACACTACAACAAAAGCTGAGCCAACCTAAGTTGTTGCACAGTAATATACGGAGGAAACAACGCTACGAGACCATGTGATGAGACGGCAGGCACAGGGAAAATGACAAAGAAGTGTGTGTGTGGAACTCAGTAAGAGGTTCCTGGAGGTCTTTAAACCAGAACCTGGTTGGTGTCATAACAAGGGTGACAAGAGACGACCAGAAATAACACTCAACAGAACTGTAGTTAATATAATGTTTATTGTAATGTTATTGTAATGAAGTTATTGTAAAGGGGTAAACAGATACCTGCAGAAATTGGATGTAACAAAAGCAGCAGATCAGACCAATATCACCCTTGAGTACTGAGGGAACCTGCAGCGTGTTGTGTTACCTGTTTACTACACTGTTTAACATTACACACACACATGAGAGCTGCCGGAAACCTGGAAAAAGGCTAATGTAGTTCCAATATTCAAGACAGGGAACAGATATGAAGCACAAATGAAATTACAAACCAGTGTCATTAACATGCAGTCCATGCAAGAGTCTAGAAAAAATATTAGAAAAGGTATTGTAGAATATTTGGGGAAAGAGTAAACCTTACAGAATGGCTTCAGGGAGGAGAAATCATGCTCAACTTGATTCAATTCTCGGACATGGTCACCAAGACAAGGAGGAAGGAGAGGCAGACTACATCTTCCTACACTCCCAAAAACCTTTGTATACACTTCCTGACAGAGCACTATAATACACAAGATGGAGAGACACGAGAAGATAACATGAAAGGCACTGGACTGGGTACCAGAGTACCTAACCAACAGCAAACAAAGGGTCATAGTTAGGAGCATAAGTCTGGCAGGAAAGAAGTGAGAAACGGTGTTAACAGGGCTCTATCCTAGGGCCACTACTGTCTTTAATTTATGCTCGTGACCACGTAGAGGCAATGAACTCATACGAGTCATATTGGTAAACGTTTGCAGGTAGTACAAATTTAGTGAGGAGAGTAAGAGATGAAGAGGACTGTTAGGTGTTGCAAGAAGACCTTAACAAACTTCAGGAGTGGGCAGATAATTGATTGCTGGAATACAATCCAAATACAGTAGGTACAAAGTAATGAAAACGGATAAGGGAGATAAGAGGCCTGTATTTAACTACCAGAAGTAGAAGGTAATTACAAATATAAAATGCCTGGGAGTTGACCCAATCCCATCACTAACACCAGAAGCTCATGTGAACACGGTAACATCAGCAGCATATGAGAAGTTACCAAACATAAGAACATTTAAGAATCTAAACAAGGAGGCATTGAAGTACACACACACACACACACACACACTCCCTTTCTTGTTGTACAGCTGTGTGAGAACATTACTAGAGTAAGCAGGTCCAGCATGAAACCCGCACCTTGTGAAGCATAATAAGAAACTTGAGAAAGTTAAGAGGTTTACACCTAGATTAGTACCAGGATTGAGAGACCTCAAGTACGAGTGACAGGTTGAGAGAACTCACCCTCACAACCTTAAGAGGAAATAACAAGGGAAGAGATATGATAACTACGTACAAGATCTTGAGACGATTAGATAAAGTGGATAATAGAAGCCAATTTAAATTAGAATACGATAGCACAAGTGGACGTGGGTGGAAGGTGGACCTGCAGTTGACTCGAAGAGATGATAAGAAGTTGTGTTTCCTTGTACAGAAGGTCGCCGTGCGCAATACACGAGAAGAACACGTTGTTGCTAATTCCATCCACAACTTTTAACAGAAATATGATGAAAACGTTAATGTTGAGAGAGGTAATTATCGCGCCAGGTATAAAGGGCTTAGACACGGGGCATAAGGCGCTAGATCTCACTCCCCCATAGTCACCCAGAGGTAGGTCCACCACACCCACTCCCCCGTAGTCACCCAGAGGTCCACCACACCCACTCCCCCGTAGTCACCCAGAGGTCCACCACACCCACTCCCCCGTAGTCACCCAGAGGTCCACCACACCCACTCCCCCGTAGTCACCCAGAGGTCCACCACACCCACTCCCCCGTAGTCACCCAGAGGTAGGCCCACCACACCCACTCCCCCGTAGTCACCCACAGGTAGGCCCACCACACCCACTCCATCTTGAAATCATTCCTTCTTGAGATGATTTCGGGGCTTAGCGTCCCCGCGGCCCGGTCCTCGACCAGGCCTCCTTTTTGTTACACCCCCCCCCCCTTCCCCAGGAAGCAGCCCGTAGCAGCTGACTAACTCCCAGGTACCTATTGACTGCTAGGTAACAGGGGCATCAGGGGTGAAAGAAACATCTTGCCCATTTGTCTCTGCCTCCACTGGGGGATCGAACCCGGAATCTCAGGACTGGGAATCCGAAGCGCTGTCCAGGCAGCTGTCCGCCACATAAATACGCCAGGCGAAGAAGACACCAACTCCGGAGGTTACGGACGCCTCACACCAGGAAATGTTAGGCGGAGCTCCACCGTCGCCCCACACATACGACACCTTCCTCGTGGAGGCCGCCCCACACATACGACACCTTCCTCGTGGAGGCCGCCCCACACATACGACACCTTCCTCGTGGAGGCCGCCTCACCAAACACAAGGACAGCGCGGCTCACCCAAAGTATCAGGCAAAGAAAAAACGGAAATCCTAGAGGTCTACACTAACCCACCAGCTCCATAACTGGTTGAAACCCACCATGAAGACCCCAGCCATCGCCAGATCTCTAGTATCAGCTAGTGATACAGATAATGGCTCCAAAGAGCCTCCACTTACGGGCTCGACGTAGCCCGTGCTACTGGAACTTCTTGTTCCGAGTAGCTGAATCTAAAACAACAACAACGACAGCCTCTGCCACGCAAATACACACCACAAAAATATACTACACACCCACATCGCCACAAATACATCTCCACACCCACTCCATCACACTCTACAACACACACGGCCACACACACACACACACACACACACGGCACACACACACACACAGGGGTGTAGTGTCAATATTGGTGCTGGAGCTCTGGTGGGCCTGACAAAAGCCTATCATTTCCTATCCTATTTCTATGTAAGTCACATGATTAAGTATTTCGTGTTTGTACTCACTAATTATCATAAAACATAATTATCAAACAAATAAAAAACCATCAATCACGTATTTATCAATTTAAGAAGGTAAAACACTTAGTGCTCACAAAATACACAAAAGTGAGAAGTTTGCCAATAGTTTCCAGGAAGAGTGAGGTGTTTGGGGCGGGTGAGAGGCAGCTCTTGTGGTGGTGTCGTCTGGCGACCTGTGGCACCGCACACATCATATGTGGCACATGGCTCAGGATGCCACTCAGCTAGCAGGAGGTCCATGTAGTGGAACACACATAAGTGCACATGCATGATTTACGAGCATTCTTGAGCGTGTTGCTGTTGTTGTTATGAGGTTCGTGTGAGTGACTCCCCTCTCACACTCACCAGTACGAATAGAAATAACTTGTAAACAGCTCAGTAATGGGTGTAATTTTACACGCATTAAATGGGTAATTTTACACCCATTTGTGTAAATTTACACAAATTTACAATTTGTGTAAATGTTGTGGGATGCGGCGTCCATGATCCTCCAAATAGGCTCTAAAGGAAGTAAGAAAAACCTTAATTAAACCACATACACGGGAATTAAATCAGGCCAGGAGTCTTTATCAAGAACACACATTTCACTCAGCAGTGTTTTATACATACTTTGAGGTTCACAAGTCTGAGAGCCTTTCATGAATGTTGTCGTGAACATACGGTGCTGTAAATTGTTCACAAGACTAGTAAGAAACTGTTGATAATTAATGATGACAGTTTTCTTGTTGCTTGTTATGGTAATTCCTCCAAACGTTCCCTTTTTAGTTACTTTTTGAGCTTGTACAGTTCTAGTGGCAGGTTCCTCTTAGTCCACACAATGACCTTATGCTCCGTTGAGTCAGGATGCATCATACATAATGGAAGTAGTGCCTTACTGTAGACACTGACAGTAAACATGTTCATACAACGTGTCATACATTACACCTAAGTCCAACACTAACTGTTCTCAAGTTACCTTTTTCACACCTTCATAGGTTTTCTATCACTTCCAAATCTAGTTCATCTTTCACCGCTTTTTTTTTAATGAAAACAAAGTGCTTTATAATTTATTCCACACTGCTCAAACTGTTCGAAACGAGCTAAACCCCCCCCCCCACCTGGTGCTCAGAACACGGCCTATGATGCTAATCTGTTGATCATGTTGAGAGGCACATTGCCATAGTTCCTTTTGATTTAAAGGTGATCTACTGTAAACTGAGTACAATTTGTCCATAAATGCTTGAAAATAATTGATTCCGTGAACTTCTCTCACAGAATCACCTCGTGCAACTTGTAATCCGTGATTAAGACAGCGCCAGGCATCAGGGCAATGTTCCTTGAGCATTGTTGCCTCGCCACATTTGACACCCAGCATGACACTTGCACCGTCACTACCAAATGTTACAAGGTTCTGCTTCAAATATAAGTCCTCAAAGCTATGATAATTGAGACAGTTCAATGGATGCCTAGCAATAGTTGCAGCTTTCTCATCGGGTAGTTCAATTAGATACAAGAACACGAAATGGGGGATTACCTTCCTTATCACTTTCAAATTAATTAGAAGTAAACTATCAAGGTTATTTTAATGCTGAGATCTCAGCTACAGTATTATCGGTTAACCATATGTTACTTGTTGACTCATCAATGAGAACAGAAATATTGACATTTATCTGCTTGATATGCTATCTTTTTTTTTGTTTCAAGTTTCGTCAGTAGTTTCAAAGCGTTATATGAGAAAGAGTACTGGGAAGACGGCACAAGCTCTCATCCTGTAACTACACTTGGGTAATTACACGCACAATCAATTGTAACCCACAACCTCTAGCACAAAATACACCAAACACCATATACTCACTCCATTGGACAAATACAATACATACTATCATACAAATAAAACACACTATCATACAGCCACAACCTATATAGCCTGCCCGTATATTTAGTGATTCTAATCTACCATGATTCAACTTTTATGAAACTTTGTAGTTAGCAGAAGCAAATAAAACAATGTAGTAGCAAAGCTTGAGGATGATGAGCAACAACTTAGCAGTATTAGTGATCAAGTGTTGATCAATATGGCCAATATGGATGATGTGAGTGTAGGCAGAGTGTGTGAGGCAGCTGACATATTGCCTAGCTACGATCCTCCTCTCAAACTCTTAACACCTCACACCATTTCCATCAACTTTAATAATAATGTGAGGAAGTATGTTATCTGTGGTAAGACATGTAACATGACAGACATGATAACAGAGCACTCCGGGGCCCATCTAGCCAATAACATCCCTCAGATAATGTACCAACATAAATAGTTCCCAGCCAACACACATGACTGGCGCCTCCACCCCCGCGACACCAGGCTACTCTCTCACCCAACTGGAATTGATTACAATCTGTCTTTTCTTTCAATTCCTCGGTAAACAAGACTGCAAAGGCATTTTCACATTAAAATTAATATTTAATAAAAAAAAAATCATCTTCCACAACTGACAAGTACACAATTCTACAATACAGTACTGTATATGGATTCAATATACAATTCCTATGTTTATCTCTCAGAATGTTCGGTAATACGTTTATTGCTTGTGATGTGTATCTATGTATGTATTAACACGATGTACTGAACGGGGTGAGAATAGCTTGAGCTACCTCATCCCTTTGTGTGTATTTTACCTCAATAAACTTATTTCAATTTCAATTCAATTTCAATATACAATTCCAAGCATTTTGTTTCTACCTCAAAATTTTAACCTGCAACACATTCTTCTTGTCACTAAGGATGATAATGCTATGATGCATCACACCTGCATCCATAACCACACATGTTCCAAAGACTGGGCCAAAGACTGGTCCAAAGACTATTTGCATGGAGTGTCTGCATAGATTTACTCTGAATCTGGGGATATCACAAAGAGATTTATTTCTGGTGCGGTGTTCATGGGTTCTATTACTCCTATCAAGGAAAAGTTTCAATTCAAGATTAGCATTTCAGAACAAGGTTTTGTACATGTAGATAGCACATGAGAATGTCAAGAGTGAGTGTATGTTTAGCGTGTTAAGGGACTTAATAAATAGAGGGGCTGAGTATTCTCTGAAGACAGGGTTTGTTATAGTTCTGATAGCAGGTTTTTGCTGAGTGATGATAGGCTTGAGGTAGTTTGCAGTGGTTGAACCCCATGGACAGATACATTATGAGGGAGAGAGAGATATGTTAGATAGGAATAGATTAGTGCATAATATAATGAGAGGAGAGCAGAGTGAGGAACATCATATCTGATTTTAGAGAGCACCTCATTACAGTATTTATAATTAATGACACCAGCAACTCACCTAGCGCCATTGTGTCATGCTAGTCTCAGTGCATCTAGACACATTACAATTACCTTATTAACCACACTATTCATACTATACACACAACTTATTTTGACTAACTGGCAACAGCTGCTGCTGAATTGTAATGAGGTGTTGATATCTCTGGAGTCAGAATGATGAAGGGGGCGAGTTCTTTGGTTTTAAAGCCTAACACTTGTTCTTTTAATTAAGTTCCTATTTTGCTAGCACACATAACTATAGTGATTATAATATATATATATATATATATATATATATATATATATATATATATATATATATATATATATATATATATATATATATATATATATATATATATATATATATATATATATATATGTGTGTGTGTGTGTGTGTATATCACGAAAATAAACACGTGATTAAGAATGTGACAATGTCAGACCACGGAGGAAAATGAAACAGGAATTTCCTTAAGTACTTTCGTATATTAAATACATCTTCCTTCCTTCCTTCATTCCTTCTGTAGATGTATTTAATATACGAAAGTACTTAAGGAAATTCCCGTTTCATTTTCCTCCGTGGTCTGACATTGTCACATTCTTAATCACGTGTTTATTTTCGTGATATACACACACACACACATATTATATATATATATATATATATATATATATATATATATATATATATATATATATATATATATATATACTGTATATAATATATAGGGAATGAAGGAGATACGGTTCTTCTTATCACCCCCGGGCTTTTAATAAGATGTATTATCTTAACCATATGAGAAGGTAATAAACAGTTTCTTGAAAGTAAGAAATTATTTATAAGCAAAAATAAAATTATTTATGTTCAATTACCTAATTATCCAGATTTCTTAACTTCCAGATCTTTTATAAGGGAATTAATTGTAATCATGTGTTCAGCATATTGGTGTTATATTACAATGTACTAAAATATATAACTTCAAATCAAGTAGAAAAGAGCACTGTTAATTGCATTTTATATAAAAGCTTTGTTTCTTAACATAGCCAGTTGGGCCCCAAGCATTTTAGATAATCAAGGGTTTACTGTAATATTTTCAACTAATAAATGTTAATAAACGTTATAACCTTTTATAGAATATAAATACAGGAAGTAAATACAACTGATAAGAAGGCTATTGGAAATGTCAACATGAAGTATGAGCTTTTCCTCACATAAAAATGGGATTAAAATATTATGAACACATTAAGTGCCGATTCATTTAGAAACACAATTTAAAAGCCCAGTCTTAATATAAGAACTTAAAACGCTGAAAGTACTTGTACAGTTTAGTATTTGAAAACTACTGTGCTATGGATGGAAGATAAAGTGTCTAAAGACATACTGTACTTCTTGAAGATTAAGACATACAGTACTATACGGGTGTGAATCTATGCGAAGGGCAATAGCAAAGACAATTACAGCCAAATAAGGTAGTAATATGGCAATATATAAGACATAGGCGGAGGAGGAGGAAGCATGGAGCACCTGGAGGTGATGCCTGTCAGTTGTCGCGTGGTGTGCCTCAACGCCCCCCACCTCAAGTCTCTGTGTGTGTTTGAAGCTCTCTCCAGAACCCTGGGATGCTACTACAACCATCACCGACCACAGGTAATGTATTCACCTCTTACACTCATCCAATATATTGTACAACAATGTATACAATACTTTAGGATGTTTTGATTTTGGGAGGGAGAAAAGAAAAAGAAGAGAGGGAGAGAGGGGAGGGGGAGAGCGAGAGAAGGGGAGGGAGAGGGGGAGGGCGAGAGAGGGGGGGGAGGGCGAGAGAGGGGGGGGGGGAGGGCGAGAGAGGGGGGGAGGGTGAGAGAGGGGGGAGGGCAAGAGAGGGGGGGAGGGCAAGAGAGGGGGGGAGGGCAAGAGAGGGGGGAGGGCAAGAGAGGGGGGGGAGGGCGAGAGAGGGACGGGGGGGGGAGAGAGAGAGGAGACGGGGGGGAGAGAGAGAGAGGGACGGGGGAGAGAGAGAGAGGAGACGGGGGGGGGGAGAGGGGGAAGAGAGAGGGACGGGGAAGAGGGGGGGAGGGGGGAGAGAGAGAGAGGGGAGAGAGAGGGGGGGGAGAGAGGGGGGGGGGGGAGAGAGGGGGAGAGAAAGGGGGAGGGGGGAGAGAGAGGGGGGGAGGGGGGGAGGGGGAGAGAGGGGGGGTTAGAGAGTGGGGGGAGATGGGGGGAGGAGGGGAGAGGGGGGGAGAGAGGGGGTAAGAGGGGGAAAGTGGGGGGGGGGGGTAAGAGAGGGAGAGTGGGGTAAGAGCGGGGGGAATGGGAGGGAGGGAGGATGATAAATAATTACCGAGGAACACAACAAATTCCTAATTTGATACTAATTTTTGTTTGCCTCAGATTGTATCTTGCCAAGGTATGGTGCGTCTTCCAGTGCCAAGGATTGTGCGAATACGGGGCCACGCGTCCCACACCCACACGCCTGGAGAGACACCCACTCTCCACACTACTCTACAGGTATATCATGCACAATTATTTTTGTATCACAATGATACAGTACTGCACAGTTATACTATACAGGCAATACACCAGTTGCATATGTGCCTGCATATGCTTAAAAGTGTAACCTGATAATTGTGATTAAAACTGTATTTCATGTACAGTATTGTACATGTACAGCAAAACCACCTCCACAATCTGGACAACGGTGCAGTACACTCGTTCAAACCTCAACTGAATTGGGGAAAAATCTGGATATTTTACTTTTTTTTTTTTTTTACATTTGTCACCAAATTTCTTCAAGTTTTCTTGTGGAAAATTATAAAATTCATTTTTGTATATAAAGGTACAGTGGCACCTCGACTTACGATTGCCCCTACTTACGATAATTTCGAGTGACGATGTAAATTGCATTGAAAAATGTGACTCGACATCCTATATTTGTTGGTACACGTTCGGGTCGACCGAGCGCGTGGTTCCCGGTCACGGAGTCAGACCTGCCTCAGTTTACTACAGCTGCCTGCTTAGTGACGATCGCGCCTATAAGAAATTCTGCGTTTGTGGTGATTTTTTGCATTTTGAACATTAAAGTAATTATTATATATAACACCATGAGTCCCAGGAAAGTCAGTGGCAAGGCTCAACATATGAGATCCCATGTAAGAATGACCTTAGAGCAGAAACAAGAGATCATTCGTAAATATGAAGATGGTGTGCGGGTTGTTGGACTGGCTAGGCAGTACAACAAATCTCAGTTAACGATATCCACCATACTGGCTAAGAAAAAGGACATTATGGGTGCTAAAGTGATGCATCATTACAGACAAATGTTAAAACGAAGGGAAAAACAAATCTCTTGACAAATTTGTAGTGAGACAAACAAACACTGAACCACAACCAGGTCCTAGTGGTATTCAGGCAAAACGTAGGAGAGAGAGTACCCCAGAGAAAACACCACTGCCTGATGTGATAATGGAAGGGGACTCCCCTTCCAAACAGTAACAACTCTCCTCCTCCCCCCACCCCCCTCCTCACCATCTTCCATACGCCATCAAGAGCCCTCCATAAAGGTAAGATAAACTTAGGTACTATATTGTAGTTAGAAAAAAACATTGTACAGTGGTACCTCGGAACACGAGTGTCCCTGTATGCGAGTTTTTCGGAATACGAGCCGGATTTCCTCAGAAAATGTGTCTCGGAAGGCAAGGGTTACCTCGGAATGCGAGTTTGTTGATACGCGTTCAGGCTGACCTAGCGCGTGGTGACACGGCGATCGTCGCCCCTCAGTTTACCATTGTCTCCCGCCCAGTGACTATCCCTCCTGAATTCTTCACAAGGATTTACAGTTTTATGTCGGTTTTTTGGCCATTTGAGCATAAAAGTTGTTATTATATATCTCGCCATGGGTCTCAAGAAAGCCATTGATAAGGTTCAACCTAAGAAAATAGCTGTGAGTAGAGGAAGTAGAGGATGTCCCTTCTTGATTAAGAAAATGTGTGAAGTATGGGAAGAACTGCAAAGTTCTGTTGAAAAAACTCACCCAGATAAAGCTGTAGCAGACCGTTGCATTGACCTTTTAAATGACAATGTGATGTCTTACTACAGACAAGTGTTAAAATGTAGGGAAAAACAAGTGTCTTTAGACAGATTCTTAGTAAGACAAACAAGTCCTAGTGGTATGCAGGCAAAATGTGCCAGAGTGTGCTCACCAGTGAAGTCCTCACTGCCTGATGTGATAATGGAAGGGGACTCCCCTTCCAAACAGTAACTCCTCTCCTCCTCCCCCCTCCTCACCATCTTCCATACGCCTACAGCATTCAACAGCAAGGTAAGTAATAGCTTGAACATAGTTTTATAGGTTTATTTAGATAAATTAGGTATAAAAATTTAGTTTGATGTGGGGTTTTTGGGGTAGTCAGGAACGGATTAATTCATTTCCCATTATTTCTTATGGGGAAATTAGCTTCGGAATAGGAGCCGTCTCCAGGAACGGATTAAACTCTTAAACTGAGGTACCCCTGTATTCTGTATAAAATGTATTTGTATGTTAATATTTTGGAGGGTGGGGAACGGATTAATTCAATTTCCTTTATTTCTTATGGGAAAAATCGCTTCGACTTACGATATTTCAACTTACGATCCGTCTCTGGGAACGGATTAGCATTGTAAGTCGAGGCCCCATTGTATTTAAATTCAAAATTAATATACAGTGTATATTAATTTTCAAATGATTTTCTGTTATAGTAATAACAAATATGATTCAAACTGAATTACTGTACTAGTTACCTTAATGAAGACTCAATATTGTAGCTAACTGTACTACAGTACTGAAATTTGTGAACTGCTTGATCAAACTCAATGAAATGTGAACCCCCAAAATCTTATCACAATCTTTGCTACCCGAATTTTCTCCCATGGCTTTTTTGTCTGCCTGAATACTTACTTCAGAGCCATGATCAGGTTTTCTGTCAATGTGCAATATCATTTTTTTTGTTATGGCACTTCTTTTTCCTACTTAGTTTAGCCCAGACAACTCTTTCTGACAAACATCTTTTTAACTCAAGCAATTTTCAAAATAATTACATAAATATCCTTAATTATTGAGGTAATACTTTCACATTAATCTTAAAAGTTATGCCCAAAATGGAGCGTGTGATTAGTGGCTTAATAAAAAAATACAAATATCTACTATGTAATCGGAGTACTGTACTGTAATCTGGTCCTTGATAATGTTTTAAACATTATTACTATAATATACAAGAGTGCCAAGTCTGGGTATGCCATGCTAATAGTGCGTAAACAATATTATGCCCAGTTCTAACTTTATTGCAAAATTTATACTTCAAAATAAGTTTATTAAAACATTTAGAAAAATATGTATTATTTACTACACAGATAATAGTTAAAATAGTGGAACAATACAATCAAATAGGAACTATTATTTGTGTTGATTTGTATTTTGTCAGCAATTTCTTATGTAAACCCAAACTGAATTCATATTTCAGAGGGAATCCAAGAGTAAAATTTGTATAAATACATTACAGGTACAGTATTTGAAAGTTTCATTATAACGAGGTCTGGATTTAAGAGGTTGCACAGTGCTGCCCTCGGGCCATACAGGCTGCCCTCGAGCCATACAGGCTGCCCTCGAGCCATACAGGCCGCCCTCGAGCCATACAGGCTGCCCCTCGGGCCATGCAGGCTGCCCCTCGGGCCATACAGGCTGCCCTCGAGCCGACAGGCTGCCCCTCGGGCCATGCAGGCTGCCCCTCGGGCCATGCAGGCTGCCCCCTCGGGCCATACAGGCTGCCCCTCGGGCCATGCAGGCTGCCCCTCGGGCCATACAGGCTGCCCTCGGGCCATACAGGCTGCCCTCGAGCCATACAGGCTGCCCCTCGGGCCATGCAGGCTGCCCCTCGGGCCATACAGGCTGCCCCTCGGGCCATGCAGGCTGCCCCTCGGGCCATACAGGCTGCCCCTACAGGCTGCCCCTCGGGCCATACAGGCTGCCCCTCGGGCCATACAGGCTGCCCCTCGGGCCATACAGGCTGCCCCTCGGGCCATACAGGCTGCCCCTCGGGCCATACAGGCTGCCCCTCGGGCCATACAGGCTGCCCCTCGGGCCACGGGCCATACAGGCTGCCCCTCGGGCCATACAGACTGCCCCTCAGGCCATACAGACTGCCCTCAGGCTATACAGACTGCCCCTCAGGTTATACAGGCTCCACTCAGGCTATACAGACTGCCCCTCAGGCTATACAGACTGCCCTCAGGCTATACAGACTGCCCCTCGGGTTATACAGGCCCCACTCAGGCTATACAGGCTGCCCTTAGGCTATACAGGCTGCCCTCAGTTTGCTCAATACCCTTTTGGAGAATACATACACAATGCTTTGTATGTTGAATTCTTTTTTTATGCAATTTAATACTGTATATAATTTTGTCATTAAATAAAGATTTGCACTCTGTATCTATCAACACACATAGTATGTTGCACTTGTGCTACATAAAGCACACTTCATGAGACGCTATACAGTACATGAATGTGTAATTAACACCAGCCATATTAATTACAGGAATATTCTGCTTATTGGAGGAAATCTTAATATAAAAATTTCACATATTAACAGTTTCATTATACAGTACTGTACAGGGAAATACTTGTTTATATTATAACATTCAGTGATAAATAGACATTAGGAGACAAAACCCAATTCTTAATCTTTGTCATTAATTGTCTTTATTCTTCTTGGCAGATGGGGACATATCTTGTGTTTCACCTCACAGATTGGGCACATGTGAGGAAATGCTACCTGGTACTTAATGGCATAGAAAAGGTTCCTCGCACAAATGTACCACCTAGAATTGTACTTGAGAGAATTCATGGTTCGGATGCTACACAATCACAACTATCTTTTAAAGGTAACACACACAAAATAATTTAGTGAAATACCAGACTTTCAAGTTTAATACCATTATTTCAGTATTTGCTACTTAAAATGCAGATAAAATTAGAGTATTTCCAAAAACCAAATACTGGACAGTAATTAATATATTCTAGCTTTACCGCAAAAATCATTTTTCTGTGAAGCCTCTCTCTGGCTCCCCAGAGCTTACCGGGCTGATATGCATGTATTAGACTGTGGCAATGGCCTCTGAATGGAGTTCCAATGACTACCTGGGACCACAAGCAAGAATCTGGCCCCCTCAGAGGCGCACGAGGAGCAATGGCTTATAGAACCCCCCCCCCCCGTGGTTGGAAGCATTCTATGTCTGCCATTGACCGGGTTAGGCACCCAGAAAGATAGGCGTCCCAAAACAAACACCACATGGTGAAACATTGCTACCAAAAACTGAACTGCTAAACAGAACTCCCCAAACTGAAAACAAGCAAACAAGCATGACATCACACCCGCCACCGCACCGCGAAACAGCTGACCGGATAGAGGGAGGGTTACCAGGGAGCCTCCGGGACTTGTCCAGAAAATGGCGTTTCAATACATTCAACGCGGGTTTTCTGTGGAGAGCCCTTCCGTGCCACCCGGACCTACCTAACCACAGAAAAGAAAAAGAGGGACTTACCTGGGAGGCGACCGCCACTTGCACCTCAACTCGAAGTCGAGACAACCGGCTGCAAGATGTGACCTAAAGCAACACATGCCCGACTAGGCCCAGGAACATTAACAAGGTAACAGGCAGCCAGGACCCTGTTCGACCTCCAAAATCCTCACCCCCGAATGTCAACGCAAGACATATTACCAAAAACGGCAGCTAAAGCAGCAAATTTGCGAATGTCATGGGCACAAGGATAGACCACAGGCTGGCTAGACCTAATAACCATGCGAACGATCTGGGAGACCCGAGCCCTGGAACAGGGAAGGAAAACCGGGTCAACCCAAAGCACGTCCTCGGTCACGGAGGCCATGGAGTGCAAATAACAGCAAAGAACCAAAACCAGACAAACACATGATGCACCCCTGGCCGAACCAACCAAGCATCTACTAACCAAGGACCCCTCCTGAATACCGCCGTCTCGTTCTTCGCTAGAAAAGGAGATGGCTACAAACTGAGTTTGGGAAATGTGACGGGACTTACATGGCAAAACTAAAATAGTGACATAAGTTTGTAGTAACATAAGTTTGTAAAATGATATGCGAGACAATTTTAAATCAGAAGAACAACCTTTTTGAACAACAACTACGCACAGCAAAAACAACTTGTGCTTAAACAATCGTTATCTTCAGAAAATACACTGTATGATATATATAAATAAGAAACTGCAAGCATACCGGAGCACCTCAATCCCTGTCACTATATATAGTTAATTGTGCATTAATAAACATATTGTAAGTCATGAAGAATCTATATGACCCTGCACTTATGGATGCAGGAAAATCATATGTTGTGATATATATACACAGTAATATATTCATACACATATGCACACAGCTTTATCAAAGACGTTGATACTACACCTCTTGAAAGACTGTTTAGAAAGGTAAAGGTGCATCATATTGTGTGGGGGATGGGGAGGAGTTATCTTCATATTGATCAATAGCAAAGGTGAGCTATTATTTTGACTGGCTGGCAACTTTGTGAATGGTGATACACTTACGTTCACACCACACTTAGTATACAGTGGCACCTCGACTTACGATTGCCCCGACTTACAATAATTTCGAGTTACGATGTAAATTTGATCGAAAAATATGACGTGGCACCTCGACTTACGATTGCCCCGACTTACAATAATTTCGAGTTACGATGTAAATTTGATCGAAAAATATGACGTAACTTACGATAGTGTCGTCGACTAACGATATTTGTTGGTACACGTTTGGGTCGACCGAGCACGTGGTTCACGGTCACGCGGGCCAACTTGCCTCAGTTTACTAGAGCTGCCCACTTAGTGACTTTTTTTTCTGATGTCTTACTGCAAACAAGTGTTAAAATGTAGGGAAAAACAAGTGTTTTTAGACAGATTCATAGTAAGACAAGCAAGCAGTGAGCCACAAGCAGGTCCTAGTGGTATGCAGACAAAACATGACAGAGTGCACACCAGTGAAGTCCTCACTGCCTGATGTTATAATGGAAGGGGACTCCCCTTCCAAACAGTAACACCTCTCCTCCTCCTCACCTTCGTCCATACGCCATCAAGAGTCCTCCATAGAGGTAAGATAAACATATGTACTGTATTGTAGTTAGAGAACAAAATTGTATTTAGTATAAAATATATTTGCAAGTTAATATTTTGGAGGGTGGGGAACGGATTAATTCAATTCCATTCTAATTCAATTACCTTTATTTCTTATGGGAAAAATCATTTCGACTTACGATATTTCGACTTACGATCCATCTCTGGGAACGGATGACCATTGTAAGTTGAGGCCCCCCTGTAGATGCAAATGCATAATACCTGTATTTAGATTTACTGGTGTGCTTGGTTTCAAAATATTGACTCCAATTGTATTTATTTAACATTGCCACATTTTTTTTAAGTTAAGCACACTACTTTTCCATCTCTGTAGGTAAACAGAGGGATCAATCCTAGTTGAATCCTCCACTTTCTGCTCCAGCTTTCTTCTTATATTCCCTCATTTTCACTTAAAAATTATGGTTTTGGGCAAAAAACTAAAATAGTACACATTCTGCAAAAACCACTGAGTAATGTCCTCTTAAGTTAGAAGCAAAGACAAAACTGAGCTTCTCAAGTGCTAGTGCTGGATGCCTAGGTTAGTGGAGGACACAGTTTTGAGGAGTGTTGTATCCATCTCATATGGTCAAGACTGGGTTTCCCTGGTAAGATTTATTTGATATCCTTTTACTTAGTTCCTGTTGACAATCATTCTTTGGGTATTCATAAGGTCAAGTCAACAGGTGATGAGCTGGTATTTCTGCTATGGGTGGCCAACTCCCATATAATAATGATCCTTCCCAAGACTATAAAAAAAATAATTCCAATGACACATGCCATTACAGGTAGCAGAAATAATTTGATAGCCAAATGTTGACCCCCCCCCCCCAGTCAGTATCTTGCCTACCCCTGGACTAGAATATGATTGTTTCAAAAAAAAAAAAAAAAAAGTAAAGTACAGTATATCTAACGAGAGAGAGAGTAGCGGCTTCACATGTGCCAGTAGACCTTCAGAAGTTTCCTCTAACCTTATGTTGTTTGTTTCAGATGTGACCCATACAAATGAAAACACCAGAAATAATGTTAGTCTAACAAGAACACACACCTCCCCCCTTCCTGGCACCTGCATCACAATGACTCGAGATAGTCCCACATGTCTTCCAAGCTCAGCAAAATTGTCTTCAAGGAGAAGAGATTTAAGTCACTGCAACAAAGACAACAAAGGAAACATACAAGTTAATAACAGTGTGCATTTGGTAAATGACCAAAGTAAACAAGACATAGAAGGTAATGGATCAGAAGGGCACCAAGAGAATCAACATAATCAGATCATTCTGAACATGGACCAAACTGAGGAAGTAACATCATTACTGGATGAGGATGAGGATGAAGATGAATACACTTCAGATACATCTGATGACCTTCACAAGGTAAATTAATGTAGCCAAATCAAATAATTAATTTTTAGTATGTTAATAAATGTGTAATTTAGGAAATTACAGATATACATTTAAATCTCTGCAGTCAGACCACCCGAAAGATTATCAGGGGTTAAAGGTGTTAAGTCTGTATTCATAAATTCAACCACTCTAAAACCAATTGCACTTCCCATAAAATAATTCATTATGCAGTATGCCAAGTGTCATAAAAAAGTTAGGCAAAACAAAACAAGTGACTGCTTGAATGAAAGAACTGTGCCCCGAGGCAGCCATCAGTTCTTACTGTGAGCTAATGATCTGAAACTTTATCGGCCAATATGCCACCAAATGGTTGCCCAAGACACTGGGGGTCTTGGCCAGCTGCACACCTCACTCACAAGTTTCCAGTACTGAACCCCCGATATCCTACAGGGAAGGGAACAGAACATGTACGTGGATCTACCGAGAACTCACCAGAAGAGAATTTCATTATATGCAACTCTTGATTTCTGAGTGGGCCCCACTCAGTAGCTTCCCATAGATTATTCCCAACAGTGCCTTGGTAGAAGAGGATGTCTGATGAAATAAAACATAATAGCAAAAACCAAAAAAACAGAAGAGCTGATCTGTCAAAGGGGATGGTAGGAGCAGCAGAGCTTCAGTTTTCAGAACACCAGTAGCATGCCACATACCCATGCACCACATGTGTGTGGCAAAGCCGAGGAACATCCAAGAAGGAACAAGAGCCCAACATATGGCTGGATTGCCAAAAAACCGACGTTGAATGTTATGAAACACCATTTTCTGGGCGAGACCCAGATACTCCCCGGAGCTTATCCAGGCTGATATGCTAATGTCAGACTTTGGCATCAGTCATGTGTAGGGAGTTCTGTGGGCATACCAACGACCACGACCCAGAACCTGACCCCCTCAAAGAGGCATGGGGAGCAATGGCCTATAGAAACCCCTGTGTGGTTGGAAGCATTCTGTGTCTGCCATCGACTGGGTCAGGCACCCAGAAAGGTAAGAGTCCCAAAACAAACTCCTATTCTGGTAAAATTGCTACCAAAAGCCGAACAAGTGGATAGAACTCCCCAAAAGGAAACGAGTAAACGAGCATGACGTCACACGTCGCCGCACCGCTGTCTGCGCAGCTCCCCCCTCTCCGGGAGGGGGAAGGGGGAGCCCCAGATCCCCCAGCCGGCTATCTACCCGTCAGTTCTGAGGCTGGACATCAAAACACGGGAAAAACCGTCGACCGGGGGGAAGGAGGGATGCCGGGGAGCCTCCGGGTCTCACCCAGAAAATGGCGTTTCATTACATTCAATGCTGGTTTTCTTGGGGGAGCCCCTTTGCCTACCCTGCCTACGGGGTCTCGTAGCCTGGTGGATAGCGCGCAGGACTCGTAATTTTGTGGCGCGGGTTCGATTCCCGCACGAGGCAGAAACAGATGGGCAAAGTTTCTTTCACCTTGAATGCCCCTGTTACCTAGCAGTAAATAGGTACCTGGGTGTTAGTCAGCTGTCACTGGCTGCTTCCTGGGGGTGGAGGCCTGGTCGAGGACCGGGCCGCGGGGACACTAAAGCCCCGAAATCATCTCAAGATGAGCTCAAGATACCCAAAGCTAACTACCCACAGAGGAAAAATAGAGGGACTTACCCGGGAGTCGGTCGCTGCTTACTCCTCAACTCGAAGTCGAGACAACTGGCTGCACCAGCCGACCCAAAGCGACACAGGCCCAACTAGGCCTAGGAACATTCACAAGATACCTAACAACCAGGACCCTGTTTGACCGCCAAAATACCAGTGCCTGAATGTCAGCATATGTTGCCAAAGATGGAAGCAAGAGCAGCGAACCTGCGAACGTCATGGGCATGGGGATAGCCCGCAGGCTGGCTAGTCTTAATAACTCTGCGGACAACCTGGGAGACCCGCACCCGCGAACAGGGAAGAAAGGAAACCGGATGCACCCAAAGCGCGTCCCCGGACACAGAAGCCGTGGCACGCAAATAACAGTGGACGGCCGCAACCGAACACAAAACATGATGCATCCCCGGCCTAACCAACCAAGGATCAACAACCCAAGGGCCCCTCCGGAAAACAGCAGTCTCATTCTTTGCCAGCAAAGAAGGGGATGACTGCAGACGAACAAACCAATCGCTACGATCTAAGAGGCAAAAACCCCTGCACCGGAGGAGACCATGAAGCTCCCGATCCAACCCCCAGAGGCCAATGCTAACAGCAAAATGTGTACTTGGATGAAAAAAACGATTCTTCGCGGCAGGGGATCGTATTCCAGGGACCTGCCCAAAACGCTACGCGTACTAGTGGCTGTACAAGAATGTAACAACTCTTGTATATATCTCAATAACGGTGATAGCTGCCCATCAACAATTAGCAGCCACCATACCTGCCTCTCCTCCAATTAACCCCTGGGGTGACCCCCAGGGGTTTATTGGAGGGCACCTAGGGAAGGTAACCCTAGGCGAATGCAGCCCTAGTACTGAAGAATAACTCCTGGCTCTCGCACCCCTGGAAGACAGCCACCACACTCGAAGCACAGTGCTGAAAAAAAACACTGGAGCCAGAGCACACGATCTCTGCCTCTAGGCATCAGCCTTAGAACTGACCTGGAGAGCGTGCAGAGATCCTTTACTGCTAGAATCCACTCAGTAAAATCTCTCAACTATTGGGACCGACTGAAATGCCTAAATCTGTATTCTCTTGAGCGCAGGCGGGAGAGAGCCATAATAATTTACACATGGAAAGTAGTAGAGGGGCTGGTCCCAAATCTGCACACAGAAATAACAGCACACGAGCCCAAAAGGCATGGCAGGATGTGCAGAATACCCCTGTTGAAAAGCAGAGGTGCAATAGGTACTGAGAGAGTACTCTCAACAGCAGAGGCCCGAGACTGTTCAACACACTTCCACTACATATAAGGGGCATAACTGGCCGACCCCTCAGTGTTTAAGAACGAACTTGACAAGTACCTCAAAAGGATACCTGATCAACCAGGCTGTGACTCATACGTCAGACTGCAAACAGCCGTGTCCAACAGCCTGGTTGACCAGTCCAGCAACCAGGAGGCCTGGTCGACGACTGTGCCACGGGAATGCTAAGACCCAAAATCACCTCAAGGTAACCTCAAGGTAAGGTAGCTTTACAGACAACTGGAGGGCTCACAAAAAAACAAAGCCTCGAAACTACCAAACAACTCTGCAAATGATTTCTAATGAACATGGGTTCATTCATAATTGACTTAAACTAACTCAAAATATGTTAGTACCAATTACTGCCTCCACGAGGCCCGGCCCCCCCCAGCCCCAGTCACTTCAATGCCTCAGATCTGTTGCTGATGCCCTTGCTATCAGTATGGCTTGTAGTGCTACTGGTCCAACAGATCGCATGCAAGCCCCACTGCTTCAAGCTAAATGCCAGCCATCCTTGGACGTCATTGTCTTCCAGGGGGGAAAGGCCTTTTGCTGTGTTTATTGTTCCTTGTCTTAGTAAAGGCTTCATATGCATGCTTTGGTTCTGGCTTTTTGTGTGGGCTTAGTTCTTTTGACATTTCAGGCTGTATACACTCAGTATTTTCTTCCCTGTGTGTCTACTAATGCTGCCTTTGTACAGTCAGTTCCCTTTTCTGGCGTATTCGGGAGTTCGCACGAGAGACCTGATCACTGGGGCAGGGAGCCTCACCTTGGGCTATTCAGGGATCCTTGATTCATCTGTTTGCACCCTTTGGCTGGGGTATTTGTTGGTTGTGTTGGGGCACACTGCAGTCGTCACTCATAGCCTAGTGGTTTGGGCCTGCTTTTGGGGTCTGTTCTTTTAGCGAATGGCCCTAGTGCCTGGGGTATCTGCTTGGTTACCAGCCTTCAGGCCCTGGCAATCCCCCTGCAGGTCTCTGGCGAGGTTAATATGGCTTGGCCCATCAAGCCCGTTTTCACTGTGCAAATTTGAGGGGTGTTCACTGGCCTTGTTACTGAATGTTGATTATTCTTTCTGCCCCCACCGTGCTGCCTGTTGGGTCAGTGACACCTACAGCCCTGAGTCATGCGAGGTTTGCTCTTACTGGGTCTCTAATGACAGGCTCTGCCTCCCAGTTGGAGGCAATTCGAGCATTTGCCACTTTGCTGAACCCTCGAGGGGTTAAAACACAAAGTAAAAAATATTCCCTACTAAATCTATATAATTTGTCTGCCTTATAACCGAGTTTCAGTAGAATCAGTGATGCACTTCTGTTTGATATTTAACCAAAAACTGCATCACTACTAGAACAAATTATCTTATGCTAGATGTACTAAATATCCTGTATGACAACTTAACAGTAATATAATAAGCCTTTACTGATGCTCAGGTTGTGCGGAAGCGACTGTCAGTGGACATCACACCACTCCTTAACCCACACCCAAATGATAAAATCCTTGTACTATTATTGAGACCAGCTGAGGAGACACAAGCCTGGCAGTTTTTGTCATCATGTATAAAGGTAAACACTACTCTGTACTACAAAGCTAAAAGCCAAGTCATAATATCATATATTTTGAATTCTAAACAACATTTTTGTGTCCATTTTCAATCAGGTCAGTATAAAGAATTAAAGGTTTTAAATATAATATAGAGTTGGTCTTTTCTGAACACTTGTTAGCTAGGTTAACTGGTACAGTACTTAATTTTAATGATACACAATTTTTTTTAGCATTATTCATAAATTGACTACATCATTTAAAATAAATGTTCATCTTTGATATACAACCACCTTGTAATACAGGAATTGATCCATATTTGTTATGGCAGGTAACTCACTCCAGCAGCAACACTATGGTTCTCGACGGTTCTGGCACCATCAAGAAGGCCCTCACAAGAACAAAACCTCTCTATTTTTCAAAAAATGGGCATGTGCATAGAATCTAGACAACGTCATGGAGACTACACACAGTCTTTTAATGATCGTTGACACTCATTAAAATGTACCTGAAACATATTTAGAGCTTTTCATTTTTCTATATACCCAATTTGAACAGTTCTTGCTGACTCACAGCAGTAAAATAAAATATTCTTATTTACATTTCTGAATGAGCAACATTTACTCTGCTGTAATAATATAACAATATAATAATATAAATTCTTTATAACAGTTTCAAAGAGCAAAGATACACATGAAGAAAACAATCAACTGACATTATGAAGGCTCTGGCAGACAGTAGCCTCCTCCTGCATCATATTACTAACATGATGTAACTTAGTAACTTATCATTTAATAAACTTTATCCTAATGGAAGCAAATAATAAGCTCATAAAACAAATAAGTATCAAGTCAATACATTTTCATGTTAGCTGATCTTGGATAACCTCTCTTAGCTTGCAGTTTCATTAGGAACATCAATGACACCCCTAATGAGCCCTAGTCTTAGTTAATAACAAAAAAAAGTGAGAAAAATGTAGGTTTTACTTACTTACAGAGTTTCTATACAAGAGGTAATGTGCTCACAGTCTATCACTGGTTATTGCTGCTTACTACATCTACTACACTTTTAGGTGTTGTAGCCTGCAATCATCACACATTCACAGTTGGCAGTTTACCACTGTACAGTATTGTTAATCACAACTCATTATAGACACTTTACCAAAATTGTTTTCAATTTATGATACTATAAGAATCTCGAAAATGATCACTGTAGATATCCACCATTGAGTGCTAAATATATCACTTTACATTGAGCTAATGTCTTTAAATAATTAGTGACCTTTGTATGCCATCTGGTTACTATATCAATGGAGCACTGCATAAAATGCCTTTATCAAGCACTCGCAAAATCATTGTCCTCTTTGATTGAATATACCTAAGTTAGATCATTGTCTTGACTATTCTTAAAATTACTGTATCTGTTAAATTCCTTGTAGACAACATGCATGAATCCCAGGGGTTCCAATTTATTGTGTCAGCAGCAGCCAGCTACCACAAGATGGCCTCCATGCTAACCTTGCATTTTTCTTTCTTATCTCGCATCTTACTGAGGAATAATCCATTTACTGAAAACTTTCTCCAACTTGTCATCAGTATCAGTACACTTCTGTATACTTGCACTTCTGCAGTACTAATCTTCAGTACCAATTGACAAACAGACCCTCACTGGCATAACCCTATGTGTAGCATGTACTCAGTAGAGATTCACAGGCACAAAGAACGTTCCTACCAGCTGTGTCCCTTTTTATATAGGCAATCAGAGCCCAAAGACTAACTCCCCTTGATTGGCTGAAGCATTCAGCTCCTTCAATCCTAATGATGGTGGGATGAAGGTCTCTTCCTTTGAACCAGTGAGCTGCTGATTTACTTTTATAAGCTATAATGACCATTCCTATATCTTTTTTTTTTTTTTTGCACCAGAATCCAATTTCTATCAAGCCTCTCCCAGGGCCTATTAAATGTCATCTTTGACATATCAAACTCCTGGAATCTACCATTTCCTAACCTGTTCTCATTCACAACTTTCATGACATCACTTCTGCACTGTTCTTCCCTACACCAACACATAGTACAACATAACGGGCAAGATATTTAGCAAGTAAAATATCTAAATATATTTAGCAAGTGTGAAAGGAAGGGATCAGCAAATTAATTTGATACGAGGAGTGATATGAGATTGGGTCCCCACCCAGTATATCTGACACATGTATTTTACAGGTGTCAGTGCTGTAAGCTCTGGGAAACCATTGAGGACATGTAGAAATGACTAAACTTTATAAACTCGGCAATAACACACACCCAACATTGTTTAGCCAAGTTTCTTAACCATTGTGTTGCTTGCCTTCCAAATATGGCAACCCAGCCCCCACCCCCCTGTGCGCAGGAAATAAATTCTCGGGAAAAAATTAATTTAGTTTTTTTTAATATTAAATACCCTTTCCTGATTATTGACATGTAAAAAAAAATCAAAATTGTAATTATTTTGGCCGCAATGGGGTCCGGAAAATGGCGTGTGACGTCACAATTTGGGTGGTTGCCTGTGACGTAGACTCCCAAAGCCAGTCGCCCACCAGCTTCAACATGCGCGAGTTGCCACAAATATTTTTTTGTTCATTTTTTTAGTACATTTCCAAATACAGTACATTTGTTTTGTTTTTCTTGCCAATTCTATATATAATGAACACGTACACAATATTATGGCAGTAGAACATCCATACTGTACCAAGACACTGTTACATAATGTCTCAAATGTGTCCACATATATTGCTCATATATCCAATGTTTCATGTTCATTTATGTATATTTACAACATAATTACACACTATACACTATCACACACTATATACATTCACCATCAACACACTCAGAGCTCTGCAAGTATGAGCTGCCACACCCAGCCAGCTCTCCCTCACTCCTCCAACACCTAGTTTACTCCTTACACCTTACTTGCCAACATGCCTCCTCCCACCATACTGTTATTGTTTGTATTACACTATTTACACACGTTATGTATATGTATCTACATGTTTTATTCACTATAACTATGCAAGTAAGCTGGTATTGTGTCCAAACAGCATAGTGGCCACCATACACTGCATGAGAAATCCCACAGCAGCCAGCAGACGACGCTACGATTACGACGCCATCTCCCTCACCATAATGGCTCCTCCCACTATACTCCTGTTGCTGTTATTACACTATATACACACACTGTATATACCCCATGTACATATGTGCTCACTATAGCGAACCACTAAGCTAGTATGATGAGCAAAAAAGTGGCTGCCACACACAGTGACGCTATCTGGATTCCCCTCCCTCCCTCCCTCACCAAAAATCTTCCTCCCACAATACTACGCACTTATGTACATGGGTATATACACACACATTGTATATACTGTACCCATATACATATGTGTTCACCGTAGCGAACCACTAAGCTAGTATGATGAGCAAAACACGAGTGGCTGCCACACACAGTGACGCTACCTGGATTCCCTCCCTCCCTCCCTCACCAAACTTCCTCCTCCCACAATACTACCCACAGTGCTAATTATCACCACAATCTTGCAAATATTACAATCCTAGTCAATAAATCCTGTAAATGAATAATTGACCACAAGTTTATTTTGTAAAGTAACATATGAAATCGTTTGAAGATTCCTAGACGGACGAAATAATGCTGTGGTGCTGTGGCCAGCGCTGTGAACATTGTGAACAGCATTGATTCACTGATATTTGAACATTGTACACACTCTGGAATGTTGTCCACGATTTTTTTTCAGATGGTGTTTGTTTACAAGAGCCCCGTGGAAGCTGATGTGAACCCCATGTAGCCGCGGGAGTTTTGAATCATACATTAAAAATATAAGATCCCGGATGCACGTTGTGCACCCCCTGTCGAGGGCCTGCAGGCGCGTTGCGCAGTTTAGTGGCTAATCAATACAGTATTCAAGAATATTACTTTCAAAGTATTTTAATATCAAAATCAATGTTCTAACCTTATAAAAATGTTTGACACAGAAAATGATAATAAATTTCATGTCACAACACACATGGCCTGGCACAAGATAGGATGTAGCATTTTAGATTAAATTATAAAACACAAACATGTTCTATAATTTAACATAAATTAAAAAAAGACATGAAATATAGATAAGCTGATAAGCAATAACATAGTACAGTATTGTACTCACCACAAAACCTCTGCTATTCTGGGGTGATTGGCATCCTCGACTATATTAGGCACGAAGTTTATAACCTCTTGCTGAACCTGCGGTGGAAGACCATCATATATAACATTCCACAGATTTTGTAGTATAAAAATAAAAAAATATTAAATGGTGCTTTACATAAAGTATTACAATTCTTCTTCAAGGAACAGGACACTCACAATCCTACTTGGTCACCAGGTTATCAGTCACCAACACTCGGCATTGGTTAATACCAAGTATGGTTTCTTAAGGCTTTCAGGAGATGGTTAGATTTAAAGATTTTAATGGAGACATAAAGAAACCACGAGGAAGATTGTAAGCAAATCAATGACTTCCAATCAGTGAGGTGTTGAGCTATTCCAGAATAAATTTAAAACCTAAATATTTTAAAACAATTTATATTACCCGATGATTACCAATTTACTGGAACTCATTCTCATCCTCAGTCAACCATCAGGCATTTGTTCAACATACTGAAACCATCACAAAATACTCTCATCAATCTTGTGGTTCACCAACTTTAGCACTCCACATCTCTCCATGAAATTTTCATTCCTCATTCTGCCTATTCAGCTAATACCATAAATGCTTCTAATATTTTACTTTTCCATTGTTTCAACTCTATTTTTAATTTTCATACCACATCATCATCTTGCATCCACAACATCAGAGTAGGCACTATCATTCTTTCACGAAGCCCCCCGGGATCCACCTATTTTACCTTATTTTCTAGGGGGAGCCCCTGGTTGCTCCCTGATGCTATGCAATGAGATGGTTCCGCATCTACCAGGTCGCATCAGCTGTGGAGTTTTTAGGCCTACCAGGGATCAGAGCCAGAATCTGGCCCCCCTTCACAGAGATGCAGGGAGCAGTGACATTTCACCATCTCAACGGGAAAGGCATCCAGAAAGTTACAGTCAAAATAAATTACTACTGGGTTCAAAGAAGACTGAATCCTCAAAACCCACCTAATGAACTCCCCCAACTACGTAAACGATTGGACTTCTCAGAATTAGTGAGCTCATTCGTCCTACCTCCCTTACTCATTTGGGAATTGGGACATCTGTGCTGTCAGTTCTTATGCTGATGCAGTTGGGGTCACCTGACTGCTGCAGTGGTTCCAGGTTGCCTCTTGCATGTGGGCTGTACTGTTCAGCTAAGTGTTTTTGGTCTTTGCTTTTGGTGGCTTTCTTGAAGACGACAGTGTAGCTTGAGCTTGGCTTGAAGAGTACTTGGAGCTGCATGTGCTCAGGGTTACCTTCTCTGTGCACTGCCCTTGCATTGCCAGAGATGTCGTCTCTCAGTGTTCGGGAGTTGCTCCCTTAGAGGCGAGTTGAGGGTCATTTGACTTCTCTATCTTAATCCGGGTCGGGTGTGACTGACTGGCAAGGCACACACATGGTTCATGGGCATCCCTTCAGCATGCCGAGACTGGGCTTCACAGCAGTGTAACCCAGGGTGTATAGGATTTTTAGATCTGGCATAGCATCCTCAGAGCCTGGGTGTCCTGCTTGGATTATCTTTCAGGCAGTGGAAATCCTCTGCAAGTTCAGTGGAACTAAGCATATTTTTCCTGAACCTGCTTTCGTTAGTTTGAGGGGTTCCTCATCATCCATGCCACGAGACGACGATCGCTCATTTTGCCTCCATCATGCTGCCTGTTGGGTCGGTGACATCATAGACCCCGAGTCCTGTGGAGTTTGCTCTCCCCATGTGACTTTTTTCTGACCCTCTTGATGAGGTTAGGTTGCAGCAGGCTGCATCCACTTTGCAAGTTTATTTTGGTTAGTTACAGCGATCTAGAATATGTGCCTGGTTGGATTCCCCGAGCTGCCCTGCCCAGCATTTAGGGACCACAAATTGAAGGGGTTGGTGAAATCCACTTTGGCTCTGTCCATACCTCCTCTTCCATTCTCTTCGGGTGTGATTCACCCTTACTTTTGATCCTCTTTCCCTGCTTCTGGCCCCGATATGTCAGAGGGTTTCCGGGTCGAGGCAGGGTTTAGCTTCAGATGTGGCTCAGCCAGCTCCAGGGGTTGCCTTTTCCGAATTGGACGTGGAGGTAGAGTAACCGACTAGTCCTAGCAAGGCTTTGGGGGTCTGTTTCAGTCCAACCCGTCCTCTTAAAAATAACGTCACTTTTGGCTAGTATGCGCACTATGGCCAAATTTGGACGTAATTTGAAATGAAATCGACTCACAAAAGTGACGTACTGTTCCGTTTTCTGTTTGAGTCGTCCGGCCGACTCTGTAAGGTTAGAATAAGTGACTTTCAATTCACGTTTTTCATAACTTTTGAAACTTTATGAGAATTTCCTGCCCACCTAACCTATCAGAGGACCCTTAACTTACTGTTGTTGAAAAAAAAAATCCCAAATTTATTTTCATATTTTTTTCATTTTCAAAATACGTCCAAATTCAGCCATACGGGCAAACGGACAAAGAGTCGGCGTCAACCGTCCATTCCGTGGACCTGGGAATGAACCGGGACAGGCAGTCTGCCAGAATGTTGGACACTCCCCGGACGTGAACGGACAGGAGAGCCAAACCCCGAGAACTCAGCAGATGAGTCATCCCGAAGTGGCCAGCCCCAAAGAGCCAAGGACCGGTTGGACCGATTGCCAAGGACCAAGGACCGATTGCCTGAACCGGTTGGAATCACACCCAACCGGTTCAGGCAATGAACCACCAGGGAGCTTCAAATCCCATGTGCATTTCTATAGGCCATTACTCCTCATACCTCTCTGAGGGCCCAGGTTTTGGCTCGTGGTCCCTGGTAGGCCTAGAACTCCACTCACACTGACTGATGTCAAAGTCTAATGATATACATATCAGCCTTGATAGCTCCAGGGGGGTTCCCTCCCCCCCCAGAAAAAAACCTTCACCAGCATCAGTCCAACTGAAAGGCATCTACTGCAAGAGTCTCGTGATCAAAGAATGGAGTCATGTAAATTGGAAGTCTCTGATTCCATGCCAACACAGAAACCCACCAACTGCTACTACCCAGAGGTGATAACATGGAAATGCAAAATGACGATTGACCATCCTGCAAACTTGCATCACAAGCAAATGTAGAAATGGAAGACCAGCTAAGGACCTTGCATAAAACACAGGAGCTTACGGGGTCCCCCAAAAATGATGTAACAGGAAACACTGGGCCCAAGGGGCCACTCACCAAATATCACAGATGCCAAAAACAGCTTAGGGACATAGGCAGCTAATATAGGAGTAAGCAGCATACCTTAAACAGTCCTCACAAGCTTCCTGTGAAACCCCAAACCTTCGTGTGAATATTACAACTGCCCCAAACCTTAAAGCCTCACAGAGGAGTCGAAGACCCTTCACTGCTAAGGACAAGGCACTTTCCTCAGAAATAAAGCTTCTTAATAGACAGCCACACAACCCCACCTAGAGAAGAGAACCCTGGTAAAGCACAGGCCACATAAAAAAAAAACTAGAAATGGTCACTATGTACAAGCAGTTTGAGGTGAACAGGTAATTAGAATCAATGCAAGAAATGAGGCATAAATGTGTGTGAAGCAAATACAGTACTAAAATACAGAATGAGTACACAAGCAAATGGAACCTGGACAAAAACCAGTGTCCAGGATAACCAACACTTATCCAATGAACCGTGACTCAAAAAGCACTGTAGCAGGAATGAGGAGTGTAATCATGATGCTTTATTGCATCATGTCAGCCAAAAATGACTGAGGCTGTCTAATTTAGGGATCAACAAACTAGGTGCGTGCCAATGTAATTACCTAAGTGTAGTTACAGGATGCTCGTAGTGTCCAGTCTTCCCACATTGCATACAATGTGGCAGTACGCAAGTGTAATTACAGTAATATGTTAACTGCTTCATGAACAGGTGGTTTGCTCAGTTTGGCAGTCTTGTTTTTCTCACTTTCTATGCTTTGTTTATCTTGCAGAATGTCTGTGTTGGCTAGCTAGTTTTATGCAGGTGGCCTTTTCTTGGTTAGAGTGAGCTAGCTCCTTTCAGCTTCTAGAGAGGTGGCAAGGTCTCGGCCTCTGATCCCAGGCAGGTATACAATGACTTGCAAGGGCTTGATGTGGATGAATTGGGTGGCACTATCCTAGTAGCTAGCAACAAGGAGCCACTTTCAGAGCCCTCCCAAAACTATAAATGTTTCATTTATTGTATTTAATATTTACATATAAGGATACTGTACAAAATATTTGTATGTATATTGTTTATCTAAATATGCAGAAACATGTACAATCTTTTCTTTGTTAATAAGATATAAAATGCCAAATAATAAAAAAAAATAACTAGTCATTCATAAGTCCAAATCAGATCCAGATTTGGGAGCTGCCACTGTAACTGTGAAAACCATAAGACATTGCAAATACTACAAGATTCTTTATGCATTGTTACCTTCAGTGGCGATCCTTCAAGAATGTCCACAATTTTTGCAGTAAGCGTGTCTGAATCCACGATGCGGTCTAGCCACTTAAGATTAGCCAACACTAGATTTGGGATGTTGGCTTGACTGCTGCTCCTAAAAAAATTATTTGCATTAGTCCACAAGATTCACATCTGTAACTACTCTTTAGAAAAGTTATTATCTTCAAAATTTTGTAGGAATTATTTACTTTACAGAGTATTACACATAGCTAACACAGATATGAAACACTCCGTTTAAAGAAGCCCCTTGGTTGCTTCCTAAGCCAGCAGTCAGGGTCTACCTAGGACATCGTCACACAATAAGCTTTAGTACACTTTCACTCCAACATGGTAAGGAAACAGTGGAAAGTTTTCTCAGTCCAGTCTGAGGAGAGACCTCTCACTATAGTAAGTAATAAAAGGCAACACAAGAAATTCTAATCATCACTTGGCAAACTACTGAACAGAACTGAAAAAGCAAGCAGCCACCTAACTGACACAAGGTGCAAACATTATGTGCCACTATAGGTAGAGAGCTGGAAGCCCTCCTTTAAAAGTTCAGGATACTCAAGTATGCCAGGGACAATGACAACAAAAGGAATGATTGGGTTGCACCCAATGATTGACTGCCCTGACTGCCCTGACCTGCCCTGGCTGCCACTGCCCAATCATTGGGCAGTGGCAGTCAGGGCAGTCAGGGCAGTGCAGTAGGGCAGTCAGGGCAGTGTCAGTCAAGGCAATGTCAGTCAGTGCAGTGTCAGTCAGGGCAGTGCCAGTCGGTGCAGTGCCAGTCAGGGCAGTGCCAGTCGGTGCAGTGTCAGTCAGTGCAGTGTCAGTCAGGGCAGTGCCAGTCAGTGCAGTGTCAGTCAGGGCAGTGTCAGTCAGTGCAGTGTCAGTCAGGGCAGTGTCAGTCAGTGCAGTGTCAGTCAGGGCAGTGTCAGTCAGGGCAGGGTCAGTCAGGGCAGTGTCAGTCAGGGCAGTGTCAGTCAGGGCAGGGTCAGTCAGGGCAGGGTCAGTCAGGGCAGGGTCAGTCAGGGCAGGGTCAGTCAGGGCAGGGTCAGTCAGGGCAGGGTCAGTCAGGGCAGGGTCAGTCAGGGCAGGGTCAGTCAGGGCAGGGTCAGTCAGGGCAGAGTCAGTCAGGGCAGTGCCAGTCAGGGCAGGGTCAGTCAGGGCAGTGCCAGTCAGGGCAGTGCCAGTCAGGGCAGTGCCAGTCAGTGCAGGGTCAGTCAGCGCAGTGTCAGTCAGTGCAGTCTCCCTCCAAGGCCACCATCTGGTAGGAAGGTTATCTTGGGATGATTTTGGGGCTTAGCGTTCCCCCGGCCGGGTCCTCGACCAGGCCTCCTTTCAGTTACACACCCCCAGGAAGCAGCCTGTAGCAGCTGTCTAACTCCCAGGTACCTATTTACTGCTAGGTGAACATTAGCATCAGGGTGAAAGAAACTCTGTTCATTTGTTTCCGCTGCCATCAGGGATCACACCTGGAACCTTACGACCACAAACCCTGAGTGCTGTCCACTCAGTTTTAGCTAAGAATCTGAACCATTTTAATACCGTCTGAGCTACCTACACGCGCCTGGAAGGGTGGCGGATATATCTGGGAGGGTATGGCATGGGGATGGGAAGGGGGTAGGATGTAGCTGGTTTGGGGGAGCTAAAGGGATGTAGCGTGACCACAGCCAGACTGTGATAATCCGCCTGCCACCCTGCAACCCAAGCCCGCCCACCTGCCCGAACCAACTAAAGCCCACCCAACTGCCGAAACCATACCAGCCTGTCCACTCACCCGAACCCACCCAAGAATGCCCAACCACCTAAACCGACCCGAAACCACCCAAGACCGCTCACCCGCCTGAAACCACCCAAGCTCGCCCACCAGCCCAAACCCACCCAAGCCCGCCCAACCACCCACCCGAACCCTTCCAAGACCGCCCACCCACCCGAAACCACCTAAGCCTGCCCACCAGCTTGAACCCACCTAAGAATGCCCCCATCAGCCTGAAAAACCCAAGTCTGCCCACACCCACCCCAAGCCTGCCCACCTACCCAAACCCACGCAAACTAAAGCCCACCCGAATCCACCCAAGCCTACCAGAAACCACCCAAGCCCCCCACCCCCACCCGCCTGAACCAACCCAAGCCCGCCCCCACCTGCCCAAACCCACCCAAGTCCACCTACCAGCCAGTTAACCATCCAGTCAGCCCATTTTCCTGCCCACCCACATTTCCTGCTTGTGCGAGGAGCATATGCGTCATTTTCCAGCTCCAGACTCGCTTTTAATTACATGGATGGTGAAATACTAAAGAAACTGTTCGTGACTTTTGTAAAACCAAAATTGGAATATGCAACAGCTGTATGGTGCCCATATCTCAAGAAACACATCAATAAACTGGAAAAGGTGCAAAAGCATGCTACAAAATTGCTTCCAGAACTGAAAAACAAGGGTTACAAAGAGAGGCTAGAGGTGTTAAAAATGCCAAAGATAGAATATAGAAGAAAATGGAGAGTGACATTTCTTAGTACCATGGTCTTGGAAACACACTTAACTTCAATCTCAGAAGGAAAATTTTAAAAATGAAATGAGAGAACACTTGATATACAAATTATATATCTTTACAAGTACATAAGGATACTTACTCATCATCATTAGCAATCTCCAAAAGCTTTTCTGTTAATAGTTTTATAAGGAATGGTTGGAGTTCTTCTATATTGAGACATAAGCGAATTAGTGAATCTTGATGTCCTCCTCGGGCAGTTACACAATCTTTTACTGTCTGCAAAGAGCATTACATCAGAATAAGACAAATTACCTTGTTACAAATTACTAGCTATTTAATAGCTTGTACAATTACATTATATATATATATATATATATATATATATATATATATATATATATATATATATATATATATATATATATATATATATATATATATATATATATATATATATATATTATATATATATATATATATTATATATATATATATATATATTATATTATATATATATATATATATATATATATATATATATATATATTATATATATATATATATATATATATATATATATATATATATATATATATATATATTATATATATATTATATATATATATATATATATATATATATATTATATATATATTATATATATATTATATATATATTATATATATATTATATATATATATATATATATATATATATATATATATATTATATATATATATATATATATATATATATATATATATATATATATATATATATATATATATGTCGTACCTAGTAGCCAGAACGCACTTCTCAGCCTACAATGCAAGGGCCGATTTGCCTAATAAGCCAAGTTTTCATGAATCAATTGTTTTTCGACTACCTAACTTACCTAACCTAACCTAACTTTTTCGGCTACCTAACCTAACCTAACCTATAAAGATAGGTTAGGTTAGGTAGGGTTGGTTAGGTTTGGTCATATATCTACGTTAATTTTAACTCCAATAAAATAAAATTGGCCTCATACATAATGAAATGGGTAGCTTTATCGTTTCACAAGAAAAAAATTAGAGAAAATATATTAATTCAGGAAAACTTTGCTTATTAGGCAAATCGGGCCTTGCATATTAGGCTGAGAAGTGCGTTCTGGCTACTAGGTACGACATATATATATATATATATATATATATATATATATATATATATATATATATATGAATATATATATAAATTATGAACAGACATGTAGTATTTCATAGCACTGATCCAGCCCTTCTATTTTGTGTGTAATCAAGAGTTAATAACATGAGACTTTTACTATATCTGTATGGGGTTCTGAGAGTCATTCTACTCCCAAGTCAGACAGTGCATCAAAAACTTATACGTGCTATTAATAGCAAACTGCAACAGTTGCAATATAACAGTCTTATTGGCCTAAAGTAAATGCTGATAAATAAATAAAAGATCTAGCATATGCATGAGAGTAGAGGATTCATTGCAAGAATATAGAGAAAGGAGGATCATCTACAAACACACCTTGCTAGGTACTTTCATATAAAGATGCAGCATATGTATACACAATTTCAAGTAAGCTGTACCTGGGTATAAAGCAGAGCCCATTTCAGTCTCACTGAATCTTCAATGTGATCTTCTAGTCCCTTTACAAATTTTTCAGCTATTTCTGGCATTTGATAAAGTGAATGGGATCTTAAACTCCACCGCAGATCACGCTGAAACATTGCTTGATCACAATCTGAAAAAATTGTGTATTCTATAACAGTTAAGTTAAAATTACAGAAACAAGAACTTGAGAGTAGACCTAATTGCCTTCGTCACTCATGGAAGAAGTACAGTATTGGGCATTACGGATCGCCATCTCCTGCTAATGGTTCTTGTCTTTGGATACACAAAAAATAAGGTGGGCTGCAATGCTCTTGAAAAGTTTTGGGAGTAAATAGCTAGTGCAATTAATGATGGAAGGGTGGAAACCATTATAGAGGAACTGACACACGTTTATTCAAGACTGAATGACATACAACAAAACAATGACAAATTTACATTTATATAAATTAGCTTGCCAAAGTATTTATATCACAAGCACAAACTACTTGGACACTAAGCACTACTACTCGAATGGATACCACTCAATCTGAAGTGTGAATGCTTGGAGGAATTTCATTCTGGCAGTAAGGTTACTGCAGTCCATTGCAATGGAAGAGTTCCAATGGAATGAGCATGTTTTCACAACTAGATTGTGACATTCAAACTGTAAACAATTCAATAATTATTATATTAATATGTAAAATATACTTTTTTTACAAAGACCTTTGGTATCAAAAGACCACACGAACAAAAATTACTTCTATTGTTTTCACAAATAAAAACATGAAAATTTTGGGGAACAAAGTATAAATATAGCATAAGCTGTTTTGCAATGGATGGATATGCAACAAATTGGTCAGTTCAAGCAGGACTCCACTGCACAACAAGTATGAGATACAACTACACATACTGTATATACATACTCAGTAGATTAGGTTTGTCGCCTTTCTTCAGAATATATCCTGCTTTTGACACCAGCTCACCAAAAAGAGAATCATCATGTAGCACATCATTGTCTTTCTCACTTGCTTTATTTCGTGATCTTTTCACCTTCTTTGGCGTAGCAAACAAATCTTCACTCTCTTTCTCTGTATTCACAGATGACCTTCTTTTAATTTGAAGTGACATGTTTGGGAACTGGTTCTTGATCTGCAAAGAATACATAGTGTATAATACAATATAAAATATATGACACTTGATTACTATATACTAGTAATCAAGTACTATAGTATATATACTATATATAGTATATATAGTAATCAAGTACTATAGTATATATACTATATAGTATATGGTATATACTATAGTACTATACTATATTAGTACTGTATAACACAATTTGTGATCTGTACTAAAACTGTAAAAATTGTAACTGCATATCCACAAAATTAGAATCAACAGGTTGGCAATTTTATTTTTAAGTTAACTTTTGTTAAAGCATGATATGGAAACTACAGCATACCTGTCAAAACACGTAACTATTGTAAGAAAGCGCTAGCAGGGATAGAACAGGGACCTAAAATAGCACTGATTGTTTAATAATAATTCTGAATCCCACCCAAAAATGTTCTACCCAATGAAGCTTAAAATTTTTCCAATCAGTTTGGATATCAATTTGCTAGCAGTCATGATCAGTGCACAAAGAAGAGAGAGAGAATCATAATTTGATTTTTTCGATATCACACCAAGGTATGTCGTTTTCAGAATCCTCTGGCTGAATTAGGAATTCAGATCCCAACCTAAATAAAAGTTACTCTTTTACAGAAAATTCTGCTCTATCCAATGGTGTCATTCAAAACCAAATTGGGAATGATGCATATTGAGATATTTTGAGATATATTGCCAATAATATTAGCATGGATTGGTAGCTGAATGGCTACCCAAACTACTTTTTTGATTACACTGCGCTGTATTCCGCACCAAAAGTTGCCCTGGTATGCCAAATTTCAAACCTCTCTGGGCACTAGTCGTGATATAACAAAGGGTCAAAGTTGGTAATTTTTGTGGTATTTACTCATTAATGGGACGAGAGCCCATTCAATATGGACCTGTTATTTAAGAACCAAAGCAGATTGATCTCTAATATTTTGCACAATATCATTTGGGGTCTAGGGGCTACTTTATTATAAAATTTCATTAGATTTAGTAAGGGCCGAGTGGAAGGCCTTTGGTTAATTCACATGGAATGACCCTACTGTACAATTTGGAGGACACTGGTCAAGACAACTTCAAAAAATCAAATGTAACAAGCAGGAAGAGAGTTTCAAGCTCAACAACCCACAATATAGGACAGAAAACAGATGCATTTTTTATCCATTAGGTTACAAACCCATGGAACTGCCTACCCGCCAAAGCCAGAAATGCTAAAACAGGGCTAAATTTCAAAATTCAGCTTGATAAAATCATTAGGACAAATGGGGAGACCTTTGACAAGGTGTTGACTTTCTGTCCTCTTTTAAGCTACTAGACAAATTGTTGATCTTAGATAAATTCAGGAAAATCCTCGAATTTATTTTAAGAATGCGCTGCACATTTTTCATGGCTCCCGAAGTTGTAGCTGTGGCGAGTACAAATAACATACTTACTACAGCCTCTCATTAGCTTAATGGCATAACTAATTAGCACTAATTACAATTACTAATTCTTTCCATCCTGATGGAGGAAGCCGAGGTGTAGTCAGCAAATATAAGCAAGCGAATTGTGAATAGCCGACAGTACAATTTCCAGTGATTCAAATAATTCCAGTACAGACACTTTGAACTTACTTCAACTCTTCAACCTCAAGAATGTAGCACTCTGCGTGTATAGTTCTAATAGACCCCAAGACGCAATAAGCCTCGACATAAGAGCAGACAGCAGACTACGACCGCATCAAGCTGCAATGCCTTCGCTTCCCATAGAGTTCAGACACTCACGATTCCCCATGGAGCCGCCAGGCTCTCCCACATAGAGCTCCGCGACTCCGGCCTCAGCTCTGCTCTGCTCCAAGCTCCGTCTCAACGTCTACGACAATGCCCACAACTGACTACTGTTATCAAGACTACTAAATAAATATGAAACTCACTAAACACTGTAACTAATGTACCCAACAACGCAACAATCGTACGTTACATAGCTAATCTTGGCACACAGCCCTTACTGTACTTACCAATCATTTAAGCTTACTCTAACTCTGGCACTTTTGCAGAGTTGAACCAGTTTAATTAATTTAGTTTTGCCCCGTACCCATCCTGTGAGCGAGTGCCTATTCAAATATAATTTTTAGTACTTTACAACTCACTGTCTTATAACGGCTGTTCCTCAACCTTCTTTATTACGTCGTGTAGGTTTGCCCTGTACTAAATGTTGTGTACTTCAGTAGTGGTGTGTCTTGGTCCCTACCATGAGGGACTGACGGGAGGTGCAATTGAACAAGTTCCCGCGAGTTTTCTCACCAATGTTTACCCGACGGTGCTGCCCCCTGGACCCCCAGGACCCCTTACTCCCCCCCTCCTGGGTGGGTGGTGGGGAGGGGGAGGGGGGGTGACAGTCACCAGGCGGCGCCAACCCATTATGACTATTATGTTGTGTTGATTTACGGGCGACGAAATAATAATAATAAATTATTATTATTATTATTATTATTATTATTATTATTATTATTGTATGTTTCTGTGAACAATTCAATTTGTCCCACCCTACCCATCAACATTGGTGTTCCTCAGGGCAGCATACTTGGCCCTCTCCTCTTTCTCATCTTCATTACTGACCTTCCAAATGCCTCCCAACACCTCAAACCTATTCTATTTGCTGACGACACAACCTTCATTTACTCCAGTCCTGACCCCCTTGCTCTAAATGCCACAGTAAATACTGAGCTAAATAAAGTCCATCTGTGGCTAACTGCCAACAAACTCACCCTTAACATTGACAAAACTTTCTATATTCTGTTTGGCAATAAATCCTCTAATCAAATAAATCTCAAAATAAACAATACCCAAATTTGTAACAAATTAGATGGCAAATTCCTTGGCATTCTCATTGACCACAAGCTGAATGTCCAGGGACACATTCTAAATATATCAAAAAAAGTTTCAAAAACTGTTGGCATTCTTTCTAAGATCAGATATTATGTACCCCGCCCTGCCCTGGTTACTCTCTATTACTCCCTCATCTATCCATATCTCAACTATGGTATTTGTGCTTGGGGTTCTACTACCCAAAATCATTTACGTCCTCTAATTACTCAACACAAAGCTGCTATTAGGACAATATCCAACTCTAGCCCCAGACATCACTCGGTACCCCTACTCAAATCTCTGAATATGTTAGATATTAAGTCACTGCACATTCTCTCTTGTGTATTATACATATATAAAACGCTGAACTGTAATGCCAATCCTGACCTCAAAAGCTTCATTGAAGGTTGTAACAGAACCCATGAGCACCACACCAGAAATAAATACAGTTTTCATATTCCAAGAGTACGACTTAATCAAACAAGAAATGCTCTACAAATCAAGGGACCCAGAATGTGGAATGATCTTCCCAACCATGTTAAAGACTGCACCTCTCTCAATCAGTTTAAGATAAAAACTAAACACTACCTAATAAATTCCCTGTAACCTACCTTACCCCTCTATTATCAACCCATGTCTGTTATTTTTTTTAATTCACACTGTCAACCTATTGTATTTGTGCTGCTTTTTCAGTCATGTTCCCCCTTTTTTTTATCTTTATTTGTATTTGTTCTCAACACATTTTATTCTTTATGCTCAATTAGTATTAAGTTCTAGATATTAATGTTTTTCCTGCCCGAAACGCATTGCGTAATAGTGGCTTTAGGCATTGTATGTACTAGCTCTATCTATATATCGATCCATAAATGTAACATTACTTGTATGTATGTACCCTTCCTGAATAAACATATTTATTTTATTTTTATTTATTGTTATTATGATTATGATTATGATAATAATAATAATAATAATTATTAATTATTATTATTATTATTATTATTATTATTGCTGCTGCTGCTATTGCTATTGTTGTTGTAGTTATTGTTGTTGTTGTAGTTAATGTTGTTGTTGTTTTGATTTAGAGACGATGACGATCGTGGGATCGGATGCGCCCCTGCCGACCGATACCGGGAAATAGCGGAGGGATGGGGTCCCTATAGTCACTTTAGGGACGGTGTTCCGGTTCCGGTGAACGGTTTAGTTGGTGTTCCTCAGGGCAGCATACTTGGCCCTCTCCTCTTTCTCATCTACATTAATGACCTTCCAAATGCCTCCCAACATCTCAAACCAATTCTATTTGCTGACGACACAACCTACATTTACTCCAGTCCTGATCCCCTTGCTCTAAATGTCACAGTGAATACTGAGCTAAATAAAGTCCACCTTTGGCTTCTGTTTGGCTTAAATCCTCTAATCAAATAAATCTCAGGATAAATAATACCCAAATTTGTAACAAAATAGACGGCAAATTCCTTGGCGTTCTCATTGACCACAAGCTGAATTTCCAGGGGGACATTCTAAATATATATAAAAAAATAAAAAACTGTTGGCATTCTTTCTATGATCAGATATTATGTACCCCGCCCTGCCCTGGTGACGCTCTATTACTCCCTCATCAATCCATATCTCAACTATGGTATTTGTGCTTGGGGTTCTACTACCCAAAATCATTTACGTCCTGTAATTACTCAACACAAAGCTGCTATTAGGACAATATCCAACTCTAGCCCCAGACATCACTCGGTACTTCTACTCAAATCTCTGAATATGTTAGATATTAAGTCACTGCACATTCTCTCATGTGTATTATACATATAAAACGCTGAACTGTAATGCCAATCCTAACCTCAAACGCTTCATTGAAGGTTGTAACAGAACCCATGAGCACCATACCAGAAACAAATACAGTTTTGATATTCCAAGAGTACGACTTAATCAAACTAGAAATGCTCTACAAATCAAGGGACCCAGAATGTGGAATGACCTTCCCAATCATGTTAAAGACTGTACCTCTCTCAACCAGTTTAAGATAAAAACTAAACACTACCTAATAAATTCCCCGTTACCTATCTTACCCCTATATTGTCAACCCATGTCTGTTTTTCTTTAAACAACGCTGTTTGTCGACCTAATTGTATTTGTGCTGCTTTTTCTGCCATGTTCCCCCTTTTTTATTTTTATTTGTTCTCAACACATTTTATACTTTAATCTCAATTAGTATTAAGTTTTAGTCTTTAATGTTTTTCCTGCCCGAAACGCTTTGCGTAGTGGCTTTAGGCATTGTATGTACTAGCTCTATCTATAAATCTATCAATTTTTGTATAACCTCTTGTATGTATGTACTTTACCTGAATAAACATTTATTTATTTATTTATATTTTTTATTTACTTCAGGCCATAGACCCTGCAATCTCTTCAGGTTACATATTTTACAGTCTCTTCAGGCCGCGGACATGACGGTTGAAGCGGAAGGTATAGCGAAGGATGTCATGACATCTTCGTCTCTCTTACCTGCCCCGTCAAGAAGAAGGGGAACTGTGAGGCGGGGAATATTCAGCCTACGAACGGCACTCTGTAGTCTGACGCGAGCGCTATGAAATCGAGGGCAGTGGAGTCGAAGAAGGTGTTCCACTGTATCCTCCTGGGTCGGACACCACTGGTCACGATCAACGATGGTGCGCTAGCGATAAAATTGCGTAGAAATTGCGTCTTCTTACAAAGGGAGCGGGCATTCCAAAACACCACAGTATTCTCAGGATGGGGTGCCATTATCCCTGAAATACAACAGCTAACTTTCTGACCACCTGTGTACAGACGTCTCCAAAGGGGGAACCACTAAAAAAAAACATAAAACCCTCATACAAAGTAAGTAAAATGTGTGGTATCAATGACAGCCAGTCCAGAGGATGTTGATCAGTGCTTCTCTCTGCCTGACGGAAGCAGTGATCGGCTCGCGAACTCTCTTGACGACGTCTGTGACTGGTGGGTGCTTCACTGTGGGCCCCATGTTCCACCGGTGTCACAATCCCCTGGGAAAGTGCCTGCGGGACCAGAGGATCATCAGGGCTATCTGTTGGAGCAGTACCTCTTGATTGATGGGAGTGTCGACGACGCCGGTGTTGGCTTCTTTGGGGAGAGGCAGGAGGGTGACGAGTGCCAGGCTCCGGCCGAGACTGAGTGTCCATGTCTGTATCCGTGGGCGAGTTTCCGTCCATGTCAAGGCTACCCAGGAGGGAAAATCGATTAGCAGCCTGGGCGTATCAGGCATGTGACTGAGACAGGCAAGAGCGTCTGCTAGTTTCTACTTGTGATGAGGTGCGATCAGGGGGAACCTGGAGGCGAGAAGAAGCGATAGGGTGATTGAGGGCGCGCAACCTCTGCAACAGCTCATGTCGAGGTGTCCCCGCTGTTTTATGATCTGGGAATCTGAATTCAATAATACACAGGATATTAACTCATTAACTAACCTCTTTCTCTCCAAAACGCGATACCAAACAAGTAACTGACAAAAGAATAAACAATCTGTGGTTCACAAGTGGCATACTCAAATCAATTAACAAAAAACATGAATATGAAAAGAAATTTAGGATTGGCCTAGTTACAAAGGAATCTCCTCGCCACAACCATAATTATCATTATGGATTCACTCTCCTCACCACAACACCCCAGTGGTTAGTCCTCTCCTCCAGTCAGCCCCGGGTACGACAAATCCTCAACTGCCACGTCACAGGCAGGCTAACACAACAGTGTTCATCCGGGGGTGACTCACAACTTCTGCAGCTAACACTTGGAGATTCTACGGCTGCCTTGGGTAGACTGATCCAACGTCTGATTACAGCAGTCCCAGGTCGACTCTGTAATCAGACACGTCATTAGTACTGATGACACTCTAGGGCACCTCACTAACAGGCTTAGACACAAACGCCCACCTATCCACTCCATAGATGGCGTTGCTGTCTAAGCACCACCTCACCAGAGGTCAGCAGCGGCTATGTTATGAGCTGATCAGGACGGGAAACCAGCCCCTGTGGCCAGTATATCCTGTCCTCACTAGATGGCGCTGTCCATTTGGAGGGGGTTTCTGGACCTGACCCACAGATGGCGTGGTCGTCACAGCTCCGTGCTCGGACGCTGGACTCGGGTCCGTAACACCAACCCATCCCTAGGAAAGAATGAACCAAAAACAGGTATATCCTCCCCCCTTCTCCCTTCTTAGTCAGTCTGGTGTTGACAAAGGCTTTAACAAGCCAAAACGTTCACCTCATTTCGTATTTCTCTGTGGATTTTCCGCATAAAATGATCAGTGTTTTGTGATCGTCAATTGCATATATATATATATATATATATATATATATATATATATATATATATATATATATATATATATATATATATATATATATATATATATATATATATATATATATATATAGCGCCTCGTAGCCTGGTGGATAGCGCGCAGGACTCGAAATCCTGTAATTCTGTGGCGCGGGTTCGATTCCCGCACGAGGCAGAAACAAATGGGCAAAGTTTCTTTCACCCTGAATGCCCCTGTTACCTAGCAGTAAATAGGTACCTGGGTGTTAGTCAGCTGTCACGGGCTGCTTCCTTGGGGTGGAGGCCTGGTCAAGGACCGGGCCGCGGGGACACTAAAAGCCCCGAAATCACCTCAAGATATATATATTTATTTATTTATACGAAAGGTGTAAATTTTTTGTCTGAAACGGTAAAAAATGTGTACGATCCGTCCTGTGTGTAGTATCCGGACGTATAGAGGACTGTGTTACAGGACCACTTTCTTTGAAATGTTGACAGCTAAAAAAAAAAAAGGACAACATCCAGCTTCAACACCAACATTAAGCCTCAATGTAATAGGAGATTCTTTTCACCCATAGGTAATAATAATTATACAAAATTATAATAATTATCATCATTATAAACCCATGGAACAGCTTATATCCGTCAAAGCCGTAAATGCAAAGACAATACTTAAATCTGTTTAAAATTTACATGAAAAAAATTCCCGGCTCCTATCTGTACCAATGGAGGCAATACAGAGATGATGACTCAAATATAAACAAAATAAATAAATATGTTCTGATGTAAGACTACAGCTTTCATTTTATATAATATTTGCATGGAGTAAATGATCATGGAAAATTGACACAGCTGTCTGGCATGGTTAAACACCTCTACACGTCCTAGGAGTATTTATAAATTTTGTTTAATAATGAACCATATACATTATGTTTTATTATTACATATATAGGTATCATGTGTTATATTATGCATATTAGATAATAATGTTCTCCACATTGTATGGAGAAGATTGCGGCGTGTTGATGGTGCCGCATGTGTCCCGGTCTGACGGCAGCAGCAGCAGCTGGTCCACCTCACACCTCACTCATCACCATGGTGGTCGACGCCGCTCACAACCACCTGCCTCCTGCAGAAGGCGCAGACAAGCCCAAGACCGCCAAACAGCTGGAGAAGGAGGCCAAGAAAGCCGCTAAATTGGCAAAATTTGCCGAAAAGAAGGCTAAAGTTGCCGAGCAGTCTGACGGGCCGCAGAAAGACAAGAAACCTAAGAAAGTTGAAGAGGTATGTCTACACGTAATTTATTTATTTATTTATTTATATACAAGAGTTCTTACATTCTGATACAGCTACTAGTACGCGTAGCGTTTCGGACAAGTCCTTAATCCCAATTTTCAAACAGATCCCCCCAGAAAGAGGCCCTTAGCAGCTGTCTAACTCCCAGGTACCTATTTACTCCTAGGTGCTAGGTGAACAGACCATCTGGGTGAAAGAAACTTCCCATTTGTTTCTGCCTTTGCTGGGGATCGAAGCAGGACCCTTAGGACTGTGACCCCAGAGCGCTGCCCACTCTGCCGCGAGGCCCGTGGTCTAATTCCTGTGACAGTTTAGGGTCTCGGACTTAGATTCACTCAGCATCATGTATTTCTCCTTAAATGTTTGTCGCAAAAGTTGTCAGTAACTCTTAAGAACATGCAAAGTGTGGGAAGATGTTTTTGTGAACTTGACGAGTAGGCTCTGGTTCACTTGGTTCTCCACAAAAGACACTACAGTACTGTAGTCATACTGGCTCAACACTTTCTCCTGATAATTACCTTACATTATCTGTGGCAAATTCTTTTTAGATTTCTGAGTGGCCTACTTGAAGGCCACTGCCTATGCTTTTGATGTCATTACAGTACCTGGTGAAAGTTTAAAATATCATCCCCTTGATTTTAAGTAGGGATTTATTGTCAGTAGATCTACACATTTATTCAGGGGGGACAATTAATACATGTAATTACCTAAGTGTAGTTACAGGATGAGAGCCACGTTCATTGTGTCCCGTCTTCCCAGCACTCTGTCATATAACGCTTTGAAACTACTGACGGTCTTGGCCTCCACCACCTTCTCACCTAACTTGTTCCAACCGTCTACCACTCTGTTTGCGAAAGTGAATTCTCTTATATTTCTCCGGGAGCTTTGTTTAGTTAGTTTAAATCTATGACCTCTTGTTCTTGAAGTTCCGGGTCTCTGGAATTCTTCCCTATCAATTTTATCAATTCCTGTTCCTATTTTATACATAGTGATCATATCACCTCTTTCTTCTGTCTTCTAGTTTTTGCATATTTAAAAATGCCTCTAACCTCTCCTCGTAGTTCTTGCCCTTCAGTTCTGGGAGCCACTTAGTAGCGTGTCTTTGCACCTTTTCCAGTTTGTTGATGTGCTTCTTAAGATATGGGCACCACACAACCGCTGCATATTCTAGCTTTGGCCAAACAAAAGTCGTGAACAATTTCTTTAATATTTCGCCATCCATGTATTTAAAAGCAATTCTGAAGTTAGAAAGTGTAGCATAGGCTCCTCGCACAGCGTTCTTTATGTGGTCGTCAGGTGATAGTTTTCTATCTAGAACCACTCCTAGATCTTTCTTTATCAGAATTCTTTAAAGATTTCTCACATAATTTATAGGTTGTGTGGGGTCTATGTTCTCCAATTCCACATTCCTAACATGGCATTTATTCACATTAAATTCCATTTGCCAAGTGGTGCTCCATATACTTATTTTGTCCAGGTCTTCTTGAAGGGCATGATAATCATCTAGGTTTCTTATCTTCCCTATTATGTTAGCGTCATCAGCAAACATGATCATGTATAACGTGTAGTGCTCGATATGTTATTCTCCATAGTCGCTGTCTAAAGGTTAATATAATGTTATTAGGTTCTCTTTTTGCTATACACTTGTCATTATTATATAAAGTTCATGCTGTTTTACAGTACATTTAGAGGGCAGAAAATAAGGCTTGAGATGCCTCATTATTTTAAGCTATTAAATTCTTTAATATTATAGAACTAGTCTTGATAACATTTAAAAACTTAATTTCAGAAAAAAGTGATCACTTACGATCTAGCAACACCTTCAGGAGACAAAAAAGATGTTAGCGTGGAGCTGCCGGCCCAGTACAGTCCCCAGTATGTGGAGGCCGCTTGGTACGCCTGGTGGAAGAAACAGGGATTCTTTAAACCAGAATATGGGGTGAGTCTTATAATTAATTGGTTTTCTGTAAGTTTAATGGTTATTGATTCTATGTACAATTAATTCAATAATTTAATTAAAAAACACCTAGCATCTTAAATGATTTAATAATGTGTTTATAATTTTAAACAAACATCTGATGCAGTTGGTTATTTCTTCATGAGTCTTTCTTTTTTCTATCACAGATGTTTACAATGGCTACACATTTACAATGTTAACCAACATACATACATTTTCTTCTGTCCTCCATGGACAGGGTTAGAGATCTGTTAAACATATAGTTCAGTGATTTTTTGAACAATCAACCACAGAAGGTAATGGCAGTGCTTATAAAATGCTAATCTAACCTACATACAGAAATACAAAAACTGATTAAGAGACTGGCATACTACGAGAAATCCGGAAAAAAGCAAATGTATTAGTAATGCTGATCTTCAAGAAAGGGAACCATTGGGAAAACAAAATACAGGTCGATATATTTAGATAGATTTTGTACAAAGTGCTTGAGAAAATAATTGCCAGAGCATCTGGATAGGATCAAATTTATAATGAAATGACATGGATTTAACAGGAAATGTCATACCTCGATTCACTTGATAGTTACAAATCATCATAATGAGCTATAATAATTTGTTCTTGTAATGTAATGAATAAGATAGGGAAATATGAACATAGTAAATACAGGCAGACAGCTAAGTTTGGTCTTTTCATCATCATTTGATAATTTTCTGTTATTTCTTAGCTCCTGGTTTGTACTGATCATTAAGGGTGGTTTTTTCTTTCTCTTACTTGCCATTTTTTGACTAGTCAATATTTTCTCAAGTTTTTTTATACCTATAACTTGCTCTTCTGTTGTTTTTTTCTATTCTCAACGCTATTTCCTTCTCTTTACATCCAAAAATTATTGAAGAATTATGTCCATCTTTTTTTATCTAAACCAGTTTTGTAATTGTGACCAATTTTTTCCTGATTACATTCCTTTATACACAATGAAATCATAATGTGATATATCTGAGAAATTCTTTGGAGCAGGATGGTGGGATCGGACCAGTGTGTGGCTCTCTCCAGACACTCTCCATACCCATGGACCATGACATGTTTAAGATTACATAACCTGAAATCCATCTTGATTTGCTAGGAATTAGGAGGCACTGGACTGGTGGTCAATCCAAATTTTACTTGTAACCCGCATTCACTTGGGTGTAATCACATTTTCAATTGATTATTTTTCTCTGGCCATTTGGGTGAAGGCTAGTTTAATTTCCACCTCTATTCTTCTCTATTTCCTTTGTGACTTCCGTCTGGATTTTTTAAATTTCCTTCTGTTGAATGTTCTTGCAAAACTTTTTGCTTGAAGTCGCTTCCAAATTTGTTCCTTTAACTTTTAGTACCCGGTACATCCAAAATCCGATCTCCATACTTGGCAATCTGTCTCCAAAACTTTTACTTTCCTAACTCAAAATGTTGTTGTTGTTCCTTAACCCTTTGACAGTGGTTATCATCAACTGTTGATTTCACAGGGTAATGCAGTTACCATCATATGAAGATTTACAAAATTATTGTCTGGGTTTTACATGTATGATGTAAATATGGATATAATAGGTCTGTAGATGCAATGGAGTTGACCTTGTTCCATGAACAAATCCTGCTACTATTTCATGGTACGAATGCAGTTATCGTCATGAATGTTACTAGGGAAATGTGGTCATCATCATATGATTTAAACAATTGTTGTCTGGATTTTACATGTATATGGATATAAAAGCTATCTGGATGTAAATAAAGAAAAAACAAGTGATAAAACAGTCTGGGAAACATCTGAAGATAAAACATGAAGCGTCAGCAGAGTCGAGCACCAGGCGTTAACAAGTGCCAGAAAGAGCCTTGCACAGTACCTCCACCCAAAGAAACAATAAATATTCACTTAGTTTTGTGTTTTTTCTTACATTCTGCATACAAATGAATAATTATGTAATGAAAAATTATTTGTTGGATTTTAATTTTTTTTTGCATTGGCAGGTATGATTATTTCTTCATAGTTGCTGTCTAAGGGTTAATTTAATATTTTCTTTTAATTAGCTGATTTTTCTCTTGATTAGATACTGTATCCTTTAATGAGTAATTACCCAATTGTCATACATAAGAGCTATGCTTATTGTGTCTCATTTTCCACTTAATCTTCATCATATGACATTTAGAAACTTCTGAAGGTTTTCACAAATACAATCTTCTCATTTAAGTTATTGTCTGTCTATCTACCGATGTTTGTAAAAAAGTATGTAATCACTTTTTCATCTCCTCTTAATCTCAACGTTGCAGGTTTTTTAATTTTATTCTTATAAAGTTGCTTTTTGCTTTGTTTAACTTCCTCTTATATAAAAGTATAGTGGAACCTCGATTGACAAGCTTTCGCTTGATTAACGAGAAAAACACATGGTGCTTCCTAGCGTTCCCGCTGGTTCTTGCAGATTCTTGGACACCTCTGACGAATCAAATACATAACTTTCTTTTTATGTGGAAAGCCCCTTCGGCTCCCCGGAGCTATACCGGCTGATGTGTATACAGTATATTAGACCGTGGCAACAGTCAATCGAAGGAGTTCTAAGCCTTCTCCGGGACCAGAGCCAGAACCTGGCCCCCTCAAGAGAGGCACGAGGAGCAATGGCCTAAAGACACCCCCGTGCAATTGGAAGGAGTCATTGTCTGCCATCTACCAGGTCAGGCACCCAGAAAGGTAGGAAATTCAAAACAAACTACTGCTGGTCAAAAAATTGCAAACCGAAAGCAGAACTAGCAAACAGAACTCCACAATCAAAAACGGAGGGGGACGGGGGAATCCCAGACCTCCACGCCGGCAACTCTCCTCGGTTCAAAAGGCTGTTGTGTTGGTGATGGTCGATCACTCTGGCTCCACTGTTTGTGCAGTGCTGCAGTGTGGTGGTGTTGCTCTGTTTTGGTGGTGTGTGAGCCAGAAGTAACACAAGAGTACTGGGGCTGCATGCACCTAGGACTACCTTCCCTAGGTACCCTGTAAGTACTGCCTTTGCGGCCTCAGGGTTATCTTCCATGAGACGTTCAGGAGCAGCTACCTCCGTGTGGTTCTGTCGCTGCTTGGTGATTGCCCGCTCATTGGGGGTTCAGCTAAGGAGGTTCTTACTCCTGTTTGCCCTTGGGTAGAAGGTAGTTTCGTCGCTGGCTGGGGCACGAGGTACTGTGCCGCTGTCTGATATACGTATAGCTACCGGTTCTCTTCACCTGGAGACGTGCTTTTGCAGGGTTTTTGTTTTTTGTTTTGATTTGCCTGGTGGGGTTCTGTCTTGTGTGGTGAGAGGACCACTTGTAGGATTTTGGTGGTCCTCCACTAGGTCCCCGTGCTTGCACACGTCGCAGGGGTTCAGCTTCTAGTTGTTTGCTTGGAAGTTCTGGGATAACTGGTTAGCAGTACCTCACCTTGGCTTCCCTTAGCAGTCATCTTCAAAAAATTAAATTCGTTAATCGGGGTTCCACTGTATACTGACCTGGTAAGGTCTTTAATCTTTCATTTATAATATTCTTAGTAGGTGTGCATTATTTAACCTATTGTTTGTTTGTGGCATTCACAAGATTTTCCAAATTCCTTTTAATTTTAATTCTTGGCAAAATTTTGCCCACAAATGATGGCAGGTGCTAATAAGTTCCACCTTAATAAAAACACTAAAATAACATTGGCAGAATTAAAATTAAATATTTAATTTTACAGATACTGTGTGTATATTAAAGTATATCAATAAATATATTGTATCTCCCTTTGGATTGGCCTGGGGGATGTGTGAACGATTTGTTTATTTAAAGTGAAGACTTGTGTCCAATAGCTAGGACAACAAAAATATTTCTTTGCATTTGCCTGTAAATGTGTGTTATTGATCAACGTTCTATCGGAGCAGAGAGCTGGGAAGCATGCATCCCACATCAAGACTGTAAAGTTACTGAGGCCATAAACTAATGTCTTCCCTGGTGCTTGGTGACTATGCCACCTTTGGGCTGCAATCAGAACACTTGGTGCCAGTCAATACTCGGTCACTGACACAGAATACATCCAGTACATCATTTGATGTCCCATCAACAAAGCAAATTTCACTGAAACATATTACAGGTAGTTTAAAAACTGTAGGGTTAATCTATCTTGGGAACCTTATTCTAATCCTCATTACATTGGTTCACCTTAATAAAAAATTTTATAACCACATTTCATACCCATTCATCATAAATGTCAATGCAAAATCTGTTTGTTTACCTGTTCAGATTTTATTTTGCTGTGATAAACATTTTATATATTTTTATTTTTGTTTTTTATAGGTAAATCTAGATGAATCTAACCCTAAAGGAAAGTTTATTATGGTAATTCCTCCTCCAAATGTCACGGGAAGTCTTCATCTTGGCCATGCATTGACAAATTCTGTTGAAGATGCTATTTGTCGCTGGTAGGTATAAGTTGTACTTTAGAAAAGTTAAACATTTTTATTAGTCTTTGTGTATTGTCCCAGAAATTACCAAATGTTTATTTTCTAATTTTATTAGAACAGTGTACATGTGGTAACTTGAGTGAGAGTACCACTTCATTGTCTTTGTGAATTGTTACTAAATACTGTACTTCGAAAATTTAGAGAACACTAATATTTGAGTAGAGATAAAGTACAGGCATGTCCCCTTTAATTAGTAGTCTTTCTGGACCACTCCTCTTTGAACCTCTCTGGAATTTAACAAGCTGTGGTAAGCAGTAATGCTTACTTCACAAAAAAGTTGTTTACTGCAATTAACAAATGCTCGGAAATAATAGTTATAATATCTTTCAAAAAATTAATTTGTACCCAATAGCTGCAACCATGTTGCAGCAATACAGCAGCGTCACTATGCTTTACATCTAAATGTTAGAATAATTAATTCCTGTTCAAGACTCGACCATTATTATAAGTGCTCTATAGTAATGATTGTGAATACTGTATGTAAAGAGAATTGTTATTTCTTGTTAAGAATGTAAAATTTTTTTATGCTTTTTCTCCAAACAAACAGTAGCTTGGAACATATCCTAATTTGTTTTTCCAGGCACAGAATGAAAGGTCGCACAACACTATGGGTGCCTGGGTGTGATCATGCAGGTATTGCTACACAGGTTGCAGTGGAAAAGAAAATAAAGCGTGAAGAAGGAAAGTCTCGTCATGATCTGGGGCGTGAGGAGTTCATTAACCGTGTGTGGCAGTGGAAGAATGAGTAAGATTTTTAAAAACGGGTTTGAATATTATTAAGCTTTTGAACAGTTTTTGTCATTATAATAACCCTCTTCATATGTTTTACAAACTTTTTAGCTTATAATTGTACATTATTGCTGATTTTAAACTTTCTGGACTTCCTTGTGTGCTGAATTTATGGATGGAAAGTGGAGAAGCATTAGTATTAATGTTAAAATAGGTGTTTTGTTGAGTAAATAGTGCAAAAAATGTGATTTGGACATCTCAAGATATAACCCTATATTTACCAAATCGTTTGTTCCCTTCCTGTCTAATTCTCTCGTATTGCATTTTTAAAGATGCCTTTCAATCTTGTATTTCCTACAGCAGTAATCTTTAATCTTGTTTCAAATGTTCTTTGGTCTGACTCGCTTCTTGAGCTCCACTTTATATTCAATTAATAATACGGTGGACTGTATTATTAGTCTTATTATAGCTCCTATTACTCTTATCTTCTCAACATCAGCTTTATTTTGAGTAAAATTAAGTTCAGTATAGTGTTGCTAGTGTGTGCTTCCCTTTCTTGTGTCAGCTCTTAATATTAAGATATATACAAGAGTTGTTACATTCTTGTGCAGCCACTAGTACGCGTAGCGTTTCGGGCAATACGATCCCCTGCCGCGAAGAATCGTTTTTTCATCCAAGTACACATTTTACTGTTGCGTTAAACAGAGACGACAGTTAAGGAATTGCGCCCAGTAAATCCTCCCCGGCCAGGATACGAACCCATGACATAGCGCTCGCGGAACGCCAGGCGAGTGTCTTACCACTACACCACGGAGACTGCTTAAATATATTCCCAAGAAGTGCTTGTCTGCTGTTTCCAAGAGTTTTGCTCTCCATGTTCCTCATCTTATTGGGGGCTTTTGTTACCCAGTCAATTTTCCTGTGATTAAAATCCCTAATATACCAGACTCTTCACCCTTCATTTCCTTTGCCACTGTGGCTGCCATTTCTTTACCTTCAGGCAGGTAAATTGCCATATCTACTCTTGTTGTAATTCCAACAAGATATGAAATTATAATTGCCATAGATAGCTATGGCAATTACAAGAAGACCTACAAGGCAGGTCTTGTTGTAATTGCCATATCTACTCTAAGGTCTGATGGGGTTTAATTAGAGATTCGTATGCAGGCGATGAGTCACAATAACGTGGCTAAAGTATGTTGACCAGACCACACACTAGAAGGTCCATGACGACGACGTTTCGGTCTGTCCTGGACTATTCTCAAGTCGATTGTCTTGAGAATGGTCCTGGACGGACCGAAACGTCGTCGTCCCTTCACCTTCTAGTGTGTGGTCTGGTCAACTTAATTGGAGATTGTAAATGTCTACCACCAGTGTCATCCACTGTTGCTATTCCTAGTACTGGGGGGGTGGGGGGGTTCCTGGCATTGCCTGGGTCTCTGTCTCATCTGTCCATCTACCTATCCATCCATCCGTCCCTTCATCTATCCATCCATCCATCCCTCCCTTCATCTATCTATCCAGCCATCCATCAGTTGTCTGCCTCTCTCTCTCTCTACCCCTGTGTCTGTCCGTTTGTCTTCTATCCTTTGAGATGTATTTTAGTGTCTCAATAAATGTACCTTACTGGATTTGTCTCAGTCTTTGTGTGTCTAATGTGTGTGCTCCTCTCACTAAGCCAGTGAGAGGAGCTTAGTGGTTTGAAAACAAAAAAATGATCCCTTACCCTGATAAAGAGCTGTGGCTTAAGAAAGCATTGAAGCTGTGGAAGAATTGTCTGTTTTATGTGTCTGGCAAATTATTGACAGCAGGAAATATGTTAATTCACCCAAGATCAGTGAATAATGCTGCATTTTACTATACCAAAAAGTTTTGAAAATATTTAGCTGTGCAGCTGGAGGGCTGTGCCAAAAATCATTGTGGGGGTCTAAATATGACCCTGGAATGTTTTTCTTTTGAATTGTCTTTTGTCTGTTTCATTTTAAATTTTGTCCTGACCATACCTGGTTGATACCTATTTCTTTGAAGCTCCGATGCAACTGAAGTAGCAGGGCTGCACCACTTCCACCCCCGTTCTCCGTTTCCTTCCCTATTACCTGGTTCCCTCGTGGGAAAATTGTGTTTCGGGGGCACTTGTTAATTTTGTCTCCTTTATGCTGTGATAGACAATTCCATATGCAATATTGTACTTAACTTCAATGTTACTCTAATTTTGCATTTTTTTTTTTTTCTGCAGAGTAATGGGTATGATTGTTCCAAGCCCAATACAGAGGGGAAAGGAAGCCATTCTTGTGTTCAGAATATTCATATTATGTGAAATAAAGCATGAATGGTCCCCAAGCCATAAATCACTTAATAACTCTGACGTCCTGGATTCCAATCTGCATTATCAGGGCTCACTCTTTGGCATTGACAGTACCATAACCACTTCACCAGTGAAAGTGGTTATGGTATTGTGTATGCCAAGGAGTGAGCCCTGGTAATGCAGGTTGGAACCCGGGTAGTCAAAGTTCTTGTAGTAGAATTGTAATATTATATACAGTACAACCTCGATTCAACGTACGATATGGGACCAATCTCGATGCGTTGGAGTGCTGGATTCGTTGCAAGAGGTGACCTTCAGGAGGCATTTGCATCACTTTTTTTTTTCTTGTACATAATAAAAATGCATTATCATATTACATACTGTACCTGTATATTACTACTCTACTAAAAAGTACTGTATTACATTTGTTATTTACCTTATTGTTGGAGTTATGCCCATTTGGAAGTTTTGTGGATTTGTGAATGCTGTACAGTAAATACGTACTGTAGTGTATTATGCCTTTAGCGCTGTGTTGATTAAGTAGTTCAGCTGTATGTTGAGTACTACAATACAATTTATGAAAACTATTTTACACTAAAATTACTGTACTGCAACCTTAATTTGAACACTAACACTATGTACTTAAATTTAACACTTGTTCTAACTGTACACTCCACACACAATGTTCTTAGATGATTGCATCAGGTTTGCTGGTGCTCGCTGGTGCTGGCTCAGTTGTATAATAATCCAGCTGTAGTCCAAAAATGGTAAATTCCATGATTATTCTTCCACCGGCAGATAAATACGTTTATCACAGACAAAGTTAGGGGCACTGGGTGCCTACTATACGAACGCAGACTAGGTCTATGCACCCTACAGTAGGCTGGTGTTTAAGCCAGATCCAGTAACATCAATTTCTCTTAAATATTGGATTTACATCAAATTATATATTTCTGGGAGGAGCCCCTACGGCTCCCTGGAGCTTATTAGGCTGATATGCTAATATCAGACTTAGGCATCAGTCATGTGTATGGAGTTCTTATGGGCCTACCAGGGACCACGAGCCAGAACCTGGCCCCCCTCTTGAGAGGAAAGGGGAGCAATGGCCTATAGAAACCCCAGTGGGATTGGAAGCATTCTGTCTTCCATTGACCGGGTTAGGCACCCAGAAAGGTAGGCGTCCTAAAACAAACTCCTATTCTGGTGAAAATTGCAACCAAAAGCCGAACGAGTGGATAGAACTCCCCAAACATAATCGAGCAAACTAGTATGACGTCACCTGTCACGCTGCTGTCTGCGCCAGCAATCCACACCCCAGTTCTTGAGGCTGATGGTATCGGCTCAGTTGTGTGCTCTGGCTACAGTCTTTTTGCAACGCTGTGTCTTGTGTGTGGCTGCTGTACTCCAGGGGTGCGAGAGCCAGGAGTTATTCCTCAGTACTCAGGCTGCATTTGCCTAGGGCTTCCTTCCCTAGGTGCCTTGTAAGTACTGCCCTTGGAGCTTGGGGTTACTTTCCACAAGTTCCTCGGGGTGTGCCTCTGTGGGTTCGTTTAACTGCTTGTTTTTTCGGTTGCCCTCTGGGTACTTGCGTGTTTTGTCTCCCTAGTTTACCTTAGGGTAGGAGGCAGTTTTTGCGTTGGTAAGGGGGCGCAGGGTGCTGTGCAGCTAATCGTCACCTATCACAGCGGCCAGCTCTGTTCCTTGCGGTACTTTGTCCTCTTGCAGGATTTTGTTTTTGCCTTGGTGGGGGGTTCTGCCCTACTTGCCACTGGTGTTTGGCCTCATCTTGATACTTTGTGGTGCCCCCTGCTTGGTCCCCATGAATGTACACGTCCCTGGGGTTCAGCTTTAGACAGTTTGGTAGTTTTGGGCGCCAGTTAGCAGTACCCTGCCTGGGTTTACCTGAGCACAAGTCCTCTTTAAATAAACGCTCAGGACCCTGGGAATCCCCTAGAGGACGCGTGGGTCCGATGAATGTGACCCCGGGGTCCCCCATTGCTTCCTGCGAGTTTTAGGGTTCAGTTCCCTTGTCTCAGGGCGACCCTCACTGTTTTTGCCTGTCACGCAGCCTGTTGGGTCGGTGACACTTTTGACCCAGAGTCCTATGAGTATTACTGCTTGCTGGTAACTCAATTTACCCAATCTGTGAATGATCATCTTCGGGTACTGGCTGCGCAGGTGTTCTAGGTCCCAGGTTTCGTTTGTTGCAACGCGCTCGGTTGGTTGCTCACCCGGATGCCCCGCGGCTGCCCCGTTTTGCTTATAGGGACTGGACTTGGGGGTGGGGGCGCTTCGACCCTAGTGCAGTCCGCACCTCCTAGTCCTTCCCCTCCTGTTGTTCGTTCTGGTCCCCCTCCCCTGCTTCCAGCCCCGAAACGTCTGAGGGTTTCGGAGTCGGGGCAGGGGATTAGTTAGTCTTGAGACTCAGGCAGCCTCGGGGGATGCCCCTTCCGGTGTGGTGACGGAGGCATTCGAGTCTCCTCCCCCGGCCGAAGCCTCTGGGTCTGACCAGTGGGCCTCATTCTATCCGTCTTTTATGGCTGTGCCGGCCTTGTCTGGTGGGATCGGTGCTTGGGGGGAGGACTTGGCCCCAGGTCCTGCAGAGGAGGACCCTGGGGCTGGGGAGGGGCTGACTTTAGGGCCTTGATCCCCGCTGGACCCCCACCTGGGTTTTTCTGCCCTCTGAGCGGGGCTTACTGTTACAAGGAGTGGGGTTTTCTTTTCCAACCTCTGCGTACGAGTTGGACTTTGTGTCGGCCCCTCCCCTGGTTCGGTTCCGTCTTTCCGGAGGTTTTCGGCTTATCGCATCCAACCTACTGCGCATCCAACCTAATCGGCGGCAGTATGAAGTTTCCTGGCGCTCCTTCCAGTTCCTCTTACGCCTTCGTCATTGTACTTCGTTTTCTGTTAGGGTGGTGTTGTCCTTTCTCTCATGGTTGTTCCAGACCATCTCCTTAGGCCTAACAGTCACCTCGTATCGTGTGGCGCTGGCAGAGCTTGCTTTCGGTATTGATATCACGTCTGCGCTGTTTCGCAAGCATTCTTGGGTGTTTCACGTCCGGCCTGCTCATGTGCCGCCTGAGCCGTCCTGGTCTTTGGACAGGGTGCTCTCTTTCCTTTCTTCTCCTCGTTTTGTTGTGGCTCCCTCGGTTCCGGATTGTTTTTGGAAGGCTCTTTTCCTGTTGGCATTGCCCTCTGGGGGTCGGGTGGGTGAGCTTCATGCTCTCCTCCGGCGCAGAGGTTTCTGCTCCTTCGGTCGGGGTGATTGTTTTGTTCGTCTGCAGCCTTCTTCTTTTCTGGCGAAGAATGAGACTGCTGCGTTCCGGAGGGGCCCTTGGGTTGTTGATGCTTGGTTGGTTCAGCCGGGGGTGCATCATGTTTTGTGTCCGGTTGTGGCTCTCCGCCGTTATTTGCGTACCATGGCTTCTGTGTCCGTGGATGTGCTTTGGGTTGATCCGGTTTCCCTGTTTCCCTTTTCGAGGGTGCGGGTCACCCAGGTCGTCCGCAGAATTATTAAGGCTAGTGACCCTGCAGTCTTTTCCGGTGCTTATGACTCCCGCAAGTTCGCGGCTCTTGCCGCCAATATGTCCGGGGCTGACATTCGGGCGCGGGGATTTTGGCGGTTGAACAGGGTCCTGGCTGCTTGTTACCTTGTAAACATTCCTGGGCCCGGTCTGGCCTGTGTCGCTTGGGATCAGCGGATGCAGCCAGTTGTCTCGACTTCGGGTTGAGGAGTGAGCAGCAACTGCCTCCCGGGTAAGTCCTTATTCTTTCCTCTGTGGGTAGTTAGCTCCCGGGAGCCGTAGGGGCTTCCCCCAGAAAACCAGCGTTCAATGTAATGAAACGCTATTTTCTGGGCGAGTCCCGGAGAATCCCCGGCATCCCTCCCTCCCACCGGTCGGTATTTTTTTCGCATGTTTTTGACATCCAGCCTCAGAACTAGGGTGTGGATCGCCGGCGTGGTAGGTCTGGGGCTCCCACTTCCCCCTCCCAGGGAGGGGGATGCTGTGCTGACAGCGGCTCAACGACGAATGATGTCATTCTAGTTTGCTTGTTTTTGTTTGGGGAGTTCTATCCACTCGTTCGGCTTTTGGTTACAATTTTCACCAGAATAGGGGGTTTGTTTTGGGATGCCTACCTTTCTGGGTACCTAACCCGGTCGATGGCAGACATAGAATGCTTCCAATTACACGGGGGTTTCTATAGGCCATTGCTCCCCTTGCCTCTCTAGAGGGGGGCCAGGTTCTGGCTCGTGGTCCCCGGTAGGTCCATAAGAACTCCATATACATGACTGATGCCAAAGTCTGACATTAGCATATCAGCCTAGTAAGCTCTGTGGAGCCTCCGGGACTCGCCCAAAAAATGGAGTTTCATTACATTCAATGCTGATTTTTTGTTTGATTTAGTTTAGTTTAATTAGGATAATAAAGAGTTATTAAAACATCAGTTTTAGAAATGATTTATTAATCTGAAACATTCAAAGTCATGGGTTACTGAACTATGACGACTCGGACGAAAGTGAGTTAGACCACACTGTAAAGTGAGGTTTACTGTACAGTATTCCCTTATCTGTCCACCCTCACTCGTCTTGTTTCATCACAGAAAATGTATATAAGAAGATTTCAACACATTAGCTAGCTATTCATGCTTCAGCCTTTAAATTAATTTACATAGATACGTGTGCCACAAATCACTGAATGAAAATCATTGAAACTCAGTCGTTCACTTGTGTGGACCACTTTGGCTGGTGTTTGGTTCATATGGTTCACTTCTTGTGTGGTCCACTTGTGTGAGCCAACTTGTCTTATGAAGGAATTATTAATTGTAATTTGTGATGGAATGAAACAATTTTCCACCACTCTGTGAACTCTGTCCCAACATCATAATCTTGTAGACCACTTGTGGCGCACTTGTGTGGCCCACATGTGTGGTCCACTTGTGTGATGCAACATGTCCTATGAAGGAATTATTAATTGTAACCTGTGATGGAATGGGAAAGTTTTCCACATCTCTGTGAACTCTGTCCCAACATCGTAAGCTTGTGGACCACTTGCAGACCACTTGTGCAGTTCACTTGTGTGATCGAACTTGTCATATAGCGAATTATTAATTGTAATCTGTGATAGAATGGGAAAATTTTCCACCAGTTTGTGAACACTGTCTCGACATCGTAAGCAAATCCGAACATCCCCCACTTCAGCGAACCATTGTTCGTCGAACTGGGTGAGTAAATGCGGCCTGAAAAGTGTGCGAACTAGCCGGAGATTCGTTGAATCGAGGTTGTTTTGTATATTATTTGGTATAGTAACTGGGGATTCAAGTACTGTTTGAAGTATGCCTATTTTCAGGTGTGTTCACCTCTTTTAAATATCTTTTGACATTTCTTTAGATTTAAAACCAAACTCTTATTTTTACACAGAAAGGGTGATCGTATCTATCATCAACTGGAAAAAATGGGATCGTCACTTGACTGGGATCGTACTACTTTTACAATGGATCCTGGACCTCAAGAAGCTGTGAAGGAGGCCTTTGTAAGACTCCATGAAGATGGAACTATTTACAGGTCTAATCGCCTTGTCAACTGGTCTTGTACACTTAAGTCTGCCATCTCTGACATTGAGGTAAGAGCATGGAGGCTAGTGTTATAAAATTAGCTGATCAAATGGACCATAATGTTTAAAAATATTTTTTTGGTGTTGCTTAATACTTTATAAAATAGTTTGCTTATACAGTAGTATGTATATAAGTAACAATATTGTTTAACAGACATAATAACGTAGGGTATAAGACCCACACTTTGGTATTAGTCATTGAGGTAAAAGTTTCATCCAAACTATATACACAGACCTTGATAATGCAGTCAGGAGAGTGCAAAAGACTTGTTGTAGTTCAAATCTCTAAATAAAAAACATAAGTGTGGGTTTTTATTCTTTTATATTTGGGTACGTATTTGGATATTTTCTGTGGAGAGCCCCTTCAGCTTCCCGACTGATGTGCATATATATTAGATCGTGGCAACAGTTAGTCGATGGGAAGATTGCCTCTCTTCCCCCTACCTCTCTTCCCCCTACCATAATCCCCTCTCTTCCCCCTACCATAATCCCCTCTCTTCCCCCTACCATAATCCCCTCTCTTCCCCCTAC